ATGCTGTTACATCTTTAAGTTCTAAAGCATCAACATCTAAATATTATTTATCTGCGTTAGAGAGAAAGTGTTGGAAATACAGTCAAAAGTCGATAATTTGGACACCCATAATCTGGAATGATCTATAATCCGGAGCTCAAAGCTACAAACTTTCTGCGCATGCGTCGCGTTGATGCATGCGCGTAAGACCTTTACGGCTGCGCATATGCACGTTTAATGTATAACGGACGGTATACGCTAAAATTATCTAATTATCTATTTCAGTTAATGTTGCAGATTGCGTTGTTCCTTAATCTTCGAATTGGATCCGGCTTATTATTTTTTGCAGACTGTTAGAGCAATTTTATAAAAGTAAGCTTGAACTTTCGATTATGTCAAATAGAATTTCAGATGCTAGAGCTCCCAGAAGGTTCTACAAAGTGAAAGTATGTTTCGATGTCCATCAAACAAAAAGTGGAATTGCTGCAAAAAATGGATAAAGGCATATCCTTTGTTTCTCTAACCATTCCGAAATCTGTTTATCAATTTCACGCTGCTCTGCGGGGGGGGGGGGGGACACCGTGGCACGCAATGAATTGGAAGTTGATCTGTCAGCACTATCCTTATCTTCAGGGCAGATGTTTTTATTTTATTTGGCTTATAATTCCTTACTGAATGTAGTATTTCATCACGATGTACTCCGTCTTTGATATGATTTAAATCAAATTCCTCGTCATTATAATTCGCTTCCGATAGTGAAGAAAGTGACACAGAGGTTATTGAAAACAAAAAAAAATTCGATTGACAAATTTGTCGATATTCTCGACACAGCAATTATAGGACTTGAACAGCGGAACTTTGTAACAGAATTATGTCTGTTTATGGAATTAAAGAGAAAGTATTATCACATAAAATGAAGCAACTTAAACAACTTACATTGAAAGAAATGTTTAATAAAATAAACATACAAGCTTTTTCTTTTTGTAAATTTTGATACCCTTTAGATCATAATTGTTCTTTATTTCATAAATTACGGTTTCATATTTTTAATTTTATAATTTCTGCATGCCATCTTACCAGATTTAAAATGATGATCTATAATCTGGAAAAATCGATAATCCGGAATCGCCGAAGTCCCAACCAGTCCGGATTAACGACTTCTCACTGTATAAAATACACAGTTGGTTATCTGCTATCAAAGCTACAATTATTAAGCTGCAAAACAAACAGTTAATTTCAGGTTTAGTTTCTTTGTAAATGAAAAAATAGATGCAGTGAACCATATTTAACATATAGCGTGAACTAGCATCCCCTTAAGAACTCCTCCTCCAAGTCATCAAGGGAGCCCACCAGCGGCCGAGCGGTAAAGTCACTGAACATTCGGTCCGAGGTTCGAATACCGCAAATGGGCAGGCTGCATGGGCGTTTTCATGGTTTTCCCCATGTGTAGCGTGTATATGAGCGAATTTCCTTTCGAAAGTCCTCCACAAAGGCATCCCTTCCCTTACACAGATAGCCCTAGTATGCTTTGCCATAATTAAATAAACCAAACCAAATCGTCAAGTGGTTTATAAGACACTTTCATAATAATTTAGCCAAGAACAGAATAATTCAAACAAGCCTGCCTTAGGAGGAAAGAATAGAAAATTTCCCAGAGGAAGCTGTATTATATTAATATTATATGTGAGAAAAGCAATGAAAATCTCAATATATTTTACTAGCTCATTTTAAATGAATGGGCAGCCAACTCATTCATGAATCAGAAAAAACTAGAGCATACTGATCTCATCAACTTAACCTCTCAACATTATTTTATGTAAGATTAATGAATAATATCAAATTTTAATAACTTCCAGAAATATTGGTTACTAATGTTTATCTAACAAGACATCAATTACTAAAAATATTAGAGTCTTAGATGAATATATAAGTGAAGTTATCAAATTAAGTGAGGCACCACAAAAGAACATATGTAAATCCTTTAGATGATGTAGTTTTTAGCGTGTATGGTATACATTTACATGTGGGGGTGTCTAACATAAACAAAACTTGATAATTTTAGCAAAGCTCAAAGAGATCTAGCAAGAAACATAAAAATCAAATACAGTCAAAAGTCTTTAATCCGGACTCGTCGGGACTTCGATTCCGGATTATCGGTTTTTCCGGATTATAGATCATCAGTTTAAATCTGGTAAGATGGCATGCAGAAATTATAAAATTAAAAATTTAAAACCGTAATTTATGAAATAAAGAGCAATTATGATCTAAAGGGTATTAAAATTTACAAAAAAAAAGCTTGATATTTATTTGTTTACTTTATTAAACATTTCTTTCAACGCGCGCATGCGTAAAGCATACATTACACATAGTCAAAATTAGAAAATTGCAACCAGAAAACTATTTGATGTGTATTCATGATACTTATCATGACGAGGAACTTGATTTAAATCATATCAAAGATGAAGTACATCGAGATGAAATACTACATTTAGTAAGGAATTATAAGCCGAATAAAATAAAAACATCTGCCCTGAAGATAAGGATAGTGTTGACAGATCAACTTCCAATTCATTGCGCGCCACGGCGCTACACAAATCGCTGCTACACAAAGCAAAATTACAAGACAAAGAATTGCACAAACTCAGTATCCATGTACACATCGACCTATTTTCACTCCAAAAAAAAAAAAATTGAGAGAATTGAACAAACTAGATATTGCACAACCCCTTTGCCCATGTACACCTTGAACTATATTCACTTAAAAAGTCAAAGGAGTAGCCAACAAAAGCTGGATGGATGGATGGAAACAATGTGAAATTGTGAATAAGAAATGTTCAGTAAAAGCGTCCTGTTGCCTTTAAGAATCCAAAAAGTCTTTTAGTTTGGGACATGTTTGGATCCCATCAAACAGATATTGATGAAAGAAATTGAAAGAGTTTATTACAGACATAGCTGTCATTCCAGTTGGATTAATGCCATTAGTTCAAACTTTAAATGTGTGTATCAATGAAACCTTCAAAGAAAATATAAAACATCAGTGAAATACACAGATGTTAGGATGTGAAGAAACATTTATAAAAGGAAGCAAATGCATCATTCCAGTCTAGAAGTAGAGTGTGAGTGGATAATAAGAACATGGACAGAACTCACAGTCTAGATGGAACAGAAGATGATTATTTATTCATGGATCAAAGTAACAGTGATGATGAAAATGAAACAGAATTCAATGATAAGCCTGAAGATATAGAATTCAATGATGAGCCTGAAGATATAACAGAAGACAACTATGATGAACTTTTCATGTTATTCGGCAATGAAAATTTTTAAGTTCATAAGGGATGTCATTTCTTTTAAGTAAACAGCATTTATACATGCAGAAATTTTAATTTTTCATCATGCTCATCTTTTCCTATTTTTACATCCAGCATATTATGTGTGCCCTTAAATTGATATTTTTTTGTAGTGAAAATATGCTGGAACATATGGCATATTAATATATGAGGATGCAAGAAAAGATTTTTATGCGAAATTCCAAAGAAAATGCTCAATATGTGTAGTAGCAACAAAATTAATTAAATATAAAATTTTCTCTATACAATTTTAAAGTTGAAATATTTTCACATGATATAATCAGCTTAAAATGAAGACTAAATACTTTCATTAAGATACACCAGTTCAGTATTAATTAACCAGCTGTGATTAACTGATGACAGCTGGTTAATTAGAGTTATTTATTATAGTAAAACATAAAATAGCACCCTATGTGTATACGTTCGGAAAGACCTTTCTAAGAAATGAATAACATTAAAACAATTTATGATATAAGATCAGGAAGTAAGGATTCAGGAAGGATTTATGATATAAGATCAGGACACATATGCAGATGACTTGGATCATCCCAAGTCATCTGCATATGTGTTATCGTTCTCCTCAACCTTAAATTATAAAATTTAACTAATAGGTTTTTCTTTAGCATCTTTTGAATTTGCATATAGATCTGTAACGTTTCCTGCAAAAACTAAATTTTTCATATTAGAAGCAACAAAACATCCTCAAACCATTATGCCTTTAGGTCTTCATCAAAAAATAGTTTATTCATCACATTTAAATATATTGATTTGTCTGCAAATATCTCATTGTGCATATAATGCATTTTGCAGGCATCATGTTCGATTCCATTTTTTTCCTTATTTGCAGAGAACTTCATGCTTGAAACTTGGCCATTGCAACCAGAATTCCTAATGACCCATATGACTGTTCAGGATTCATTTTCATTGCAAAACATTCTTTAGATTCAGCTTCCAGTTTTACAGTGCTGACCTTACACTACTTTACCTACTTTTACAGTACTGTAATGATTTCACCAAATATTCATCATTTCATAGCATATTTTTTTATTGTGCTTTACATTAAAAAATTTTGTGACATTTCAAATGTATAACCACCTTTAAAATGTAATATAATTAAATTTCTGATAGAACTTGTAACTGCTTTGCATCTTTTTGTCATGCTAATTTCAAATTTGAAATTATTAAACGATTTTGCTGAAAAACTAATAGTTGCAAACTACAGATAAGACGTATTTTAATTTAAAATAATAATAATAAATGTAACAAGAGATTCATCGATTTCTTAGCAAAACTTTTGAGCATCTAAATTAATATATGAATTTGATTTTGGTACTTTCCATTTTATTTTTAGAAATGTTTTAAATATCTATTTTAACAATGAGCAAATTTTAAAATGAATAGAAAAGTTTCAGTTAAAAATTTGAATTGCCATTTGTTTAATATCTAGTACGTGTTTTCTGCAAATGAATTTCAAAAATACAATAGTCCAAAAATAAGTGTGAACCAAAGTAATTACATATGGGGCAATTTTAACATTTTTAAATATACATAAAAATATTTTAAGAATAGCATAATATTTAAAGGATTTTTTTTTCTTTTGATACCACAATTAAATACTTTTAATAAATCTTACATAATAAAGAAAATTCAAATCCCCGACTATTTTCTTACCAAGGCGCAAAAAAGTTTACAAAATGAGGAACTCCTCCTCCAACGTTCTGTTTAAAAGTTTCAGAATCGTATTTTTTTACTCTATCACTGTACAGATCGCTGCATATACAAAATTTAAACACAGAAATACACGCAAATATAGCTATGAAGCATTTCAAATACATCGCTGCTCACAGTTTCCACTCTAACGCCGACTCACACCACGGCTGCAGACGACACAAAAATTCATCGCTCCTACTGAAACTTCCTGAGTTTTATCAGCTGCCACTAGAAAAATATTGAAACCTTCTAGAGTGGTAATTTCAATGCCGAAAGTAAACAGATATACTGACACTAACAGGCACGGAAAGAATTATTTACTTTTTGGATTTCCTGTTAAATAGCATAGAATTTCGTTCGCTTTCCTTTAACGATTCAAATGCGGGAGAAAAAAAAAACTGCAATGAAGCTTCACTGGATGAGTCAAAAATCCATCAGTTACTTGGAAGTAACCGCGAAACCGTCATTTTATAAACACATGTAAATTTTTTACGTGCTGAAATTTGATATAAGTTACGTAAAAGTAGAGTTACGTGTTTATTCTGACTTTTTAATATTAAAAAAATGCTTACTCCTGATGAAGTTGCGTGTGTTTATTCAGCTCTAATACTGCAAGATGATGATATTGCAGTTACGGTGAGTATATAAACATATGTATATATTAGCACTTATCTTTGAAAACATGTTTTCATTGTTTGTTCATTCTTAAGTTAATGCAATCATTCTTTATCTTTGTAGGCTGAAAAAATAAACACTATTCTGAAAGCGGCGGGGGTTGATGTGGAACCTTATTGGCCTAGTAAGTATTTTAGATAATGATGAATTTTAAATTCTCCTGTAAACCTCAAAATTTTCTTATTGTTGCCATGAATATATTTATTATTAATCAAAAGTTTTTATATCACTGGATTTTAAAAAATACTCATTTGGCAGGGTTTTTCAATATTTTTTTAACTATGTATTTCTAAGCCTGCCCTTGTTTTTATACAAGTATTAACTGTATTAAATAAGCAGGCTGTATTTGAACAACTAAGCTTAATTTTTTAAAGGCATTAAATAGGTTTTCCTACTGTTGTTGAAGGATTTAAATAATTAAATGACATTGTTCCATTTGCATCTTCAATTTTGATTTTAGTATTAAACATAATAATATATTTTAACATCAAGACATGAAACCATTTTCAGATATTAAGTTTCATTTAAAATTCTGCTTGGCTCCTATATTGAAAATTGCTAGTTATAAAAATATTGTGATTTAATACTGTCTGAAATCTTGGTCATAACTAAACTTAGCATGAAAGATTAAGCATACATGCTGTTAGATTTATTAATACTTTTTTACTAGATTTCTCCAATACCAGCTGAAAATTTTGGATCATAGGGCATGAAGTAAGTCTAAATAAGTTATTATGGTGCTTCTGGTGGCTGGAACTATGAAAAGTTATGTTTTAGAATTTGAAGTGCATAAAATTTCTTTTGGGGAGTGAGACTTCTGTTTTATGAATTTCTATTAAAATATGAAATTTTTAATTCAAAACTTTAAAAAGTCAATTTTTGGTGCTTTCTGTTGTTCACATGCAACACTTTTTGGTACTGAAAGAGAACTGCCAAGACCAGTGGCATAGCTAGGATGGGGCAAGGGGGGGACATCTGTTTCCAGGTGCAGCACCCAGGAGGTGCCAGACTGATGTGAAATTTTAGAATGAAATGTTTTCTATTCTTAGTGTACAGAAAGGGGCACAAAATCTTCAGTTCTTCCCAGACACTGAAAACTCCAGCTATGGCTCTAGCTAAGACTCGGTAGTAGTGTCATCTGGGCTATCCTTGTGTGTTTATTTCTTTAAACTTTTCTTATAACTAGATAGTGTTTACATTAAAAAAAAAATAATAATAATAATAATAATAATAATAAAAACTGCTAAAATGTGTGGCAGGTGCATAACAAAAAAGTACCCAATTTTTAAACAAAACCAAATTTATAATGTTTTATATATATAATTTTAACATTTTACATTTCGCTATATTAGAAGTTTTTTTTCTTCTGTAACTTATTTAGCAATATCTTATATGAAGTTACAAAAAATTAGTTTGTTGAAAATGCTGCTAAAAACATCTCCAGCTGGGTCATGTTGAGTGACAGATATAAATTACCCAAAATAAATTTTTAATATATTTTGTGGAAGAGTGTTAAAATTAGCATACATACATAGAATTAGTATCAAATTTAATTTCCTGTAATGTTGACAGATAATGTTGTTAGAAATTGTTCTGTTACTGTATCTTTTAGTTTTCTTAAGGTTAGGTGTGACATTTAAAAAAAAAAAATGCATTTATTTCTCTCGGTACTAATCCTTTATCTCTAACTAGACCAACTTTGTGCTATTTTCTACAATTTATTTTTAATGATAGACTTACTGCACTTTTCCATTAAATGTGGGTAGCTCTCATGTACATTTTATCATTATTATTTTAGCCCAAAATTTGAAAGATGGACTTGTGGGAACCAAAATACCATATCTACATATATTTAGTTTTCTGTAAACTATTTTTTATACTTGATATTTCTCAGTATTTAATTTATTTTACATTTTTCTTATGCAGTCTTGTAAAGCATTTATTATATCCTACTTTAGAGTAAACATGAATTCAGGTTTTCTCCTCCCTCTACATGATAGTATTTGAATTATATCTCTGACTTTAAGGTTCTTTTTGAGCTATCATTTGATTGCTAAAATTTTTTCTTTTGATCAGAATGTAGTTCATCCAAATCTAATGATTATATTTATGTAGAGGTTAAAGCAATTATGTAATATGTGGGGCATATTACGTAATAGTTTTATAGCATTGTTAGCACTTTTTGGTACTCTTCTGTTATTGGGACCAGATTCAGAAATGTATGTGTACGCACATACAGTGTCTCACAAAAGTGATGGGACACTTGTGCTTTACAAAAGGAAACTGTAATAAAATAAATTTAAAAAACATGTAAACATTTTTTGTGGGTGTGTTTCATACTTAAATTTAGTAACAATTATTACATAAGATACATTTTCTCAAAATATTAATTTAATAAAAATACAATTGTTCAGAACGGAGCAAAAAATGGCTCACATAAGTGATGGGACACCATTAGATACTACTATGTACTACAATAAAAATATTTTTTGGGGTTTTTATTTTTACTCAAAAGCAATTGGCAATAATTTATAAAATCGTCTGCAGTATTTCTCTCCAGTTTATTTTGGAAATTTTGTGTTTTTCAGCTCTGTGCAGCCATGAATGCTAAACGAAAAGAAACTTTGCCTGAAATTCGAAAATTAGTTATTAATTTGCATATTGAACATGGAAAATCTATTAGAGAAACTGCTGAAACAGTTAACTTGAGTCATTCAAGAGTTTTCAATATCATTAAACGATATAAAAAGAATCATATGATTCAGGATAAAAGAAGACCTGGCCGACCATCAAAGTTATCCAATGGAATAAAGCGAATTATCGTTCGAAATATTACAAAAAATCCCAGAATGAGTGCTCCTAAAGTTGCTGCTGATTTACAAGCATTATATGGAGTAATTGTTAATCCTGAGACTATTAGAAGAGTAATTCGATCTGCTGGATATCACAGTAGAGCAGCCAGGAAAAAATTCTTCGTAAGTGAAAAGAATAGAAAACTCGGACTGGCTTTCGCAAAATCCAACATAAATAAGAATTCTGATTACTGGAATGAAGTTATATTTGCTGATGAGAGTAAATTTAATATATTTGGTTCTGACGGTAGAATCTTGGTGTGGAGAAAACCCAGGGAAGAATTTCGCAAACAGAACTTGGTGCCAACAGTAAAACATAGTGGAGAAGGAGTTATGGTATGGGGGTGTATGTCGTTCGCTGGAGTTGGTAATCTCGTTTATATTGACAGTATAATGGATCAATACAAGTATATTGACATTTTAAATCAAAATTTGAAATCTTCAGAACGAAAATTGAACCTTGATAACGATTTTAAATTCTACCAGGACAATGACCCCAAGCACACTGCTTTGAAAGTTAGATTCTGGCTGCTGTATAACTGTCCTGAAGTAATAAAAACACCACCACTATCTCCAGACTTAAATCCCATAGAGAATATTTGGCAAGAATTGGAATCAAGAATTCGCAAACACACCATTTCTTCAAAGCAACAATTAAAATCGGTTCTTCAAGAAGAATGGGGTAAAATCACTCCAGAAATAATAAAAAAAAATTTGTCGAATCCATACCAAGAAGATTAAATCATGTTTTAAAAGTAAAAGGAAATCCAGCAAAATATTAAAACATTTTAAAAAGTAAAATTTTTGGATAATGTATTTGATGGAAAAGTAAGTGTCCCATAACTTATGTGAGCCATTTTTTGCTCCGTTCTAAACAATTGTATTTTTATTAAATTAATATTCTGAGAAAATGTATCTTATGTAATAATTGTTGCTAAATTGAAGTATGAAACACACCCACAAAAAATTTTTCATGTTTTTTTAATTTATTTTACTACAGTTTCCTTTTGTAAAGCACAAGTGTCCCATCACTTTTGTGAGACACTGTATACCATATATATGTACATGCTTTCTGAATCCGGTCCGGATAACAGCACAGTACCGTTTAATTAAATGTTAGCCAATTATCAGGTTTGATCTGTCAGTCATTTCTTTAATATAAAATGATTCTAAAACTTTGAATTAAATTTCCTCAAATCCTTCTATAAGCATTATAATGTCAGTTTTAATTATTGGTTTTAATTGTAATTGGGCTTAACTTCAATCATAAGCGACATTAGCAGATGTTAATTTTTAAGGACTACCGAGTGACAGCTAAATAAATATATTTTAATTAAATAATATGCTTAATTTCTCAGGACATCAACTGTATTCATCATCTAGGGCACCAGATACACTAGAGATGCATATGATTATAAGGCATTCTGCTCATTCATCAATGTTTACACAATCATGTAAATTTTTCTTCTGTATATTATGACTATGATCTCTAGATTTTAGATTTAGGGACTACTGAATCGGTGTAATTATTGAAAAAGATTCTCCCTAATTTGCAATAATTGGCCCTTTTGCTTGAAAATGATTCCAAAAAAAGTTTAAAGTATTATCTTGAATTAATGTATCATAACCATAAGACATGTTTTTTACACTAAAATTAAAAGTCAGTATTGAATTATTTCATAGAATATTTATTTCCAACAGCATTATTTGCCAAAGCTCTGGAGGGAGTAGATTTGAAACAGCTTATAACAAATGTGAGTGCAGGTGTAGGTGGTATGGGAGGTGGAGTTCCTGCAGCACCAGGAGCACCTGCTGCAGGAGCTGAAGCACCTGCAGCTAAAGAAGGTAAATTTTTTAGTACCTTTCTTGTAAATGTATTTGTAAATAAATGTTTTTTATAGATTGAAAAAGTTTTCACTTATCATAGTTCTTAAAAATAAAATTAATTTTTGTAATTTAGCCAGATGTATTCTATTATTGCATTAAATTCAGCAACATAAATGTTCATTCTCAAAATACTTTTAAGCTGTACAATGCAGGCAGAAAAATAAAATCCTGAATTTCTGTAATGGTACTGAAATCAATAAATGTAGAATATAATTAACATTTGAAATACTGCTATAAAAAAGAGTCTCCAAGTCGCATTTGAAAAATGCCAATGTGCACTAAATATGAGGGGAAAGTTAAAGTGTCTTGATTTTTAGTAGTATATATTGACTGGGTTTTATGTTGGGGGGGGAGGTTATTGTATTAGAAGTTTGAGCAGAATAAAACATGTTCAGTATACATGCACACAAAAACCTTCAGAATGTGCATAAAAAAATTATGTGCATTGAATGTAAAAAGAACATGTTAAAAGCATATAATGTTAAAGATTCTTTTTATTTTGTATAAAAGTCTTACTGAAAGATGTTTGTATCAAATATAAAAAATTTCAGTATTATAACAGTGACATAATATGCTTCAAAGGATGCGAGTTTCATACCTGTAGTATGTATCTGGTTGCAATGAAAGTTTTGCATCAAAAAACGTTCTTAATAAAATTAGGAAAAAAAAAAAAAAAAAATAAAATCTGTTATTTTTCAAAGCCTTCAACCCAGAAACTTTGTGGCTGCAAGTCCAAAAACAGATCAATCTGATTTCGGACCTCCTGTAAAGAATGGAAGATAGCATCAGCAAGATGTAACTGCAGATGTGAAAAGGTAGAAGTCTGAAAGTCGGGGCTGTAAGGTGTGTGTGGCAAAAGATCCCATTCAAGTCCGTACAGAGCCCAGCCGTTGAATGCAAACACATGATCTTGCATTATCTTGATGGAATATTACCTAACATTACCTTTTTGCACTAGGACTCAGTTTGACGTTTTTTCTTGATAGCTGTGCCAACACAGGCTAAGATCTCGCTCTACACCTTGCCGAGGGTTTTGCCTTTTTCCAGATACTCTTTGTTAATAGTGAATTTTTTGATAGTCAAAATGCACTTTGCATTTATGCTGATGGGATCACCGGGCACAGGCCAATCCCATTTCCGGCCTGCATTGTTGAATTAAATCTTATTTTCATCATTCTTATTTTCTGGTTCAGAAATTTGTCCTTGCAGTGCTATTTGAGCAGATTAGTGCAGACTCAAACATGTCTGTTCGTATCTGCGCGAGTCAGCTCGTGCGGCACCAAGCGATTAAACTTGTATGTTAAGTTTTTTGTGATGCTTAGCATGACTAATGGACATGTCATTAACATCTAACTCCTTAGCAAGCTCTCAAGTAGTTGCATATTGATCTTCTTCCATAAGTTCTAATGCACCAGCGAAGTAAAGCAGTGCGGTTTTACATAATTTCTGAGTAAGCTATTTGTACGAATTGAAACAATTCTTGCATTTAAACTTGTATTCTAAGATTTGTAAACAAGATTTAACTTGAAATTAATGTAGATAATTATTGAGAGAATTAGATTTTGGTAATATAATTTACGTGAGATGAGATCTTTTGGGGTCACGTGATACGAACCGGTGAATCAGGATGTTGAACAACGAAAGCATAGTAAATTCTTAAATTAATGTCTTTTACAAATGTATTGTTTTTATTTATTGGCTTTTTACAAAATTTTAAGCTCTATTAAAATAATTATGCCTTCAAAATAAAAAATTCTTAGAACTAACATTTGTTAACATTTTTTTATTTGTATACTGTATGTTGTCGCCAATAACGTCCGCTTGGCGAGATTTGCGCCGGCGAAACGGAAAAGTACCGAATTTTTATTACCATGCTTGGATTTATTAACTTAAAATGAAATGTGGTAAGTACATTTGCACAGAACCCACTAAATTTGATCAAAATTGCAGTAATAAATGTTAGCCATGTTGTTAATTTAATAATCTTTACTCTGTTCTTTTTATTATTTTGGTGTATTTTTTACAAGAACTTTTTTATTGAGGATTTAGCCTTTATTTTAATTTCAAGTAATAAATAAGTGTAATTTTGTTAAGGAAGTTGTTAAAGAAGGTAAGTACAGTGGTACGTTGGTATACATTCTGCTTAGAAGCAAAAAAAAAATTTTTTTTTGGAGTATGACTTCATTTCAATAAATTATAGCTGTATGAATTTACACTTGTTTACTTCTTTCAAGGCAATTCCGTGACTGCCCATGAAAATTAGTATACCTGTTCCTAGTCAGCAAGCAACTTGTGATATAACTCAAATTTTCAAGTGATTTTATGTTTTTTGCAGATTTTTTTTTTTTTTTTTTAATTCATTAAAGGTGAGTTTTAGGAAAGCTAACCAAAAGAGTCGAGCAATGAAGAAAATTGTTAGGATCACCATGCAGGTAAAAAAACAATTGTAGAAAAGTACAAAGATGGTACAAGTATCTGAGGCTTAGCTATTTCCTATCATATGTTGAGTGTCTACAGGTGTAAAAAACAAGGAGTCTTAAATAGGCTAACATTGCTAAGGAGGTAAAATATATTACCAAACAAAGATCAGAGATATTAGAGTATGTTAAAAATTGTTTCTGTTTTAGATAGCAGGAAAATGTTTATTTACAGTATCAGTTTCGTTCACTGCATTTGTATTTTAGTATTGAACAGTGTTATAATAATAGCAATAGTTGTTTTTTTTTATAAAAATGAGTTAATTATTTTCCCTCTATTCCTCATTAGAAAAGTTTGGTTTATGTCCTAATAGCAGTTAAAGCGTTAGATTATACCGAGGCACGACTGCATTTAATAGGGTGACATTAAGTAATCGAAAAGTGTATTCATCTAATTAATGATTCATCTAGTATTTTATGCACCAAACTAATAAAGTGGTCAACAATTTTGTAGGTCTTTGAATTAGTATGTATATTCAGTCCATCAAATTAAGCCCACTGTCTCTAAATGCCAACAATTTAAAAGCAAGATAAGAAAACTACTTCAGTTAACAACGTATTTGAAATTTTGTTAGGCTGTAAATAAAGTATAGAAGCTAACTAGATATACAATTAAATTCTTTATGTTGTCAAAGGCAATTTTTAAGTTGTGTAATTTCATGTTTGATAATTTGCAATAAATACCTTGTTTAGTTTTTAAAAAATTATGCATGGTCACATCTTGACATAAATGCATAATATTTGAATGATACTTCAGGTTTTAAATTATCATGTTTATAACATTAAAATTAAATATTATATTCTTCTGAAAACAGTCTTCTTTTTATTAAGTTTCTTGTTAATGTCTTTTGAAATTTTAAAATTTTATTTAGATTTGTAATTGCAATATTTATGGCTAGCTTTGCCGCATTAGCTCTTGATCAACAAAAACTGAAAGCAGGTTCTCTGTAGAAGTAAACCTATAATGTGTTTATTATAATACCCTTTCTAAAAAAGTATTTTTATGTCGATTTAATATTTTATCTCTGATTAAGATTTATAAGAAATTATATTTTTTACCTTATAAAAAATTTCAAAATTTTCAACTATCTTTTGAAGAGAAATAATATTTTCCACTAATATGTTGATGAATTTCTGCAGAAGCTAAGAAGGAAGAAAAGAAAGAGGAAAGTGAAGAGTCAGATGAAGATATGGGTTTTGGTAAGTGTTGTATGGTTGATTACTTTGAATTACTGGCATTAATATGAGTTTGTAGTTATTGCATATCTGTATGTTTGGTGGATATAGAATAAGGAAATTGAACAGAGGTTTAAAAATTAAAGTTACGCCTACATAAAATAAACAATATAGGCAATCTTGTAGCGGTACATTCATGCTAAAGTAGATGTTAAACACAAAAACTGGCATTTTTCAAATTATATATATATATATGAAATAACTTTTCATGAGCTGTATTTAAAAAAAAAGTTTCGCTTTTTTATTCTGATATGGTCTGTCCATTTTATATTTTTCAGATTACATTTGTCACGTGTAGTTAATTGTCTCAGATCTAATTCTCATTATATAATGATGCTTATCAATCATTATGTGTTTATTTTCCTTTTGTAATTTTAAACTAAACTTGCTGTGAATGTATATGTATATATATATATTGACAGCAAGGTATATATATATATATATATATATTTGTCTTGTCATAAATCATTTTTACTTTTGGTGTATTTTATTTACTGCATTTCCAACTAAAAAGATTACCTTTTTGAGAATTGAGAGAGTAAGATGACAGGTAAGACCACTCACTAGATGGATAGATGATGTTGAGCAAGATATAAGGTTAGAGTTAACCAATGGAAGGCTATTGTGCTGAATGGGGTCAGGTGAAGGAAACTTGGAGAGACAGCCTTGGCCTGTAACAGGTTGTGGAGCTTATGATGAAGAAGTAATATTTTATGTACAATTAAATTTCATGTTCAGATCATCTAGTTGTTTTTCAAACCAGATCTCATTGCTGATTTTGAATTGTCTAGCCTGTGCTACCAATGGATGCTGTCTAGCAAAATAGTTTCTTTTAAACTTTGATTCTGTTGCCTTATAAGTGTAACTTGTAAAAGATTTCTTTTCTCAACAGAAAAGCGAACAGAACGAAACAGAAGACACATGGTTAAAAATTAAAATAAATTATCCCAGATTCACACATTAAAACTGCATTTAAAAATTATTAAATTAAAATTTTCGTAAATGGCCCCTTTGCTTTGCCAGCTGTAATTGGAATGAATGACTCGGTCAAGCTTTTTATTGCCATTTCCTGCAAGATTTCTGTATGTTTTAGGATCTAGTGTCCAGATTTATAGCAGGTTTAAAGGAAGATATTTTATGATAACATCTAATGTTTCGCTAATTTTAAAGTTGCTTTTGTTCTTGATACTGGCTTTCTGTCCTTTAATTATTGAGTTTGGATACTTGAAGGAGTATTTTACAAAAGGTGAGTTATTTTTATTGCTGTATTGACTAGTAGAGAGTTTGTAAAAATCTTTGTTATGCTCAGCAATTTTTACTGATAATTTGATAGATGTCATATTGAAATTCTGAGTTTCCTCGTTTGTATCCTAATCACGGACAAGTATACACACCTGTTTAATTTGTTGCACTTAGATTATGATTTGCCTATTCTTACTTTCCAGATGGGTTGGGTTACAAGAAGTTTGTAATTCAGTCCTTTGAAAATCTGAGCTTATGTATGAGATAATAGGGGGCTGTTCTGTCAAATTTAATTCTGTTTGTTTCTTAAGTTGGTAACCTCTTTTCTCCAAATTAAATGCAGAAATTTGTTGATTTTGTGAATAAATTGTGATTTTTCAATAAAGTTGGTGGAGTATCATCTGTTTGTTGGAGTTTGTAAGATGAATTTACATTCATTTTCATAAAGTTCAGGTGTAGAACAGAATTCTTTAGTTCATGTTAAGTAAAAGTAAAAAGCAGTTATTTCACAAGGATTGAATGAAAAAGAATCGTAGAGGATTATAAAGGGACTGCTAGTTTCTCTATGGCAGACTGTACTAATAACAGAAATAATTGAAACAATTCCAACAGCTGCATAATACTGAAATAAGAAAAAAAATTGGTGCATTTATTTACACACTGGTTATCTTTAGAGAAATATTTATCTAGAATCCTTGACCAATGGAACTCTCTTTTTACATTTTTTAAGGAAAAAATGTTTCTAGAGTTAAGACAAGACTCTATTGAAAGTTATGAAATACCTAAAATAAATGGAGATGTAGTTAATACTTCCACTATTGAAAATAGATGTGAGAAAAATAATTTTTGCAGCTCTGAGCAATTTAAATGGTAATTCTCAGAATAATACGACAAAATATAAGTGTAAAGCTGATACAGTACAAAGTCTTTAATCTGTACGTCCATAATCCGAAATGATCTATAATCTGGACCTCAAAGCCATAAACTTTATGAGCATAATACGTTTATGCATGTGCATAAAGAGAAGAGACTGTTTATAGAAGAGACAATTAAAGAGAAAGTATCAGCACAAAAAACGAAGCAACTTAAACAACTTACATTGAAAGAAATGTTTAATTAAGTAAACAAATAAATATTAAGCTCTTTTTTTTTTTTTTTTTTTTTTTTTTTTTTTTTGTTTTTTTTTTTTTTTTTTTTTTTTTTTTTTTTTTTTTTTTTTTTTTTTTTTTTTTTTTTTTTTTTTTTTTTTTGTAAATTTTGATACCCTTTAGATCATAATTGCTCTTTATTTCATAAATTACAGTTTCATATTTTTAATTGTATAATTTCTGCATGCCATTTTACCAGATTTAAATTGATGATCTATAATCCGGAAAAACCCTCAATTCGGAATCGCCGAAGTCTCGACGAGTCCAGATTACGGACTTTGTACTGTATTAAGTTCCATCAAAAATAAAAGGACTTACTCAACAAGGAAAACATTTTATTATTATTGTAAGTTTAACTTGTGAAGAGCAAATTTTTTTTCTCCCTCCTCTTCAGACCTTAACAAAGCTTTTCTGTATGCTCTATTTTGCCATTATTTAATGTTTTTAACAGTTCTGCAGTGCAGAATTCCATTAATTTATGTTTTACAATCAATGATTAGTGTTCTGTTTAAAACCATTTCATCAAAGTTTGTAAAACCAACCTTTGTTTTGTCTTCTAATTCTATATATCATGTGATTTGTGGTAAAATAGAATATCGGAAGGAAGATTGAGGATTCGATATTAGGGGTTGCAACTAATAAAAAGAAAAGTTTTATTTCCACGTTAGAAGATACTTATGTGGCATATGTGATTACATGCATGCTAAATAAATTTCCAATCAATGATGAAGTGATTTTATTAAGTTTCAGATTTTTCTGCTCTACCAAATGCATCTGTTCTGGTCTGATAGATTTCCAGTTTTACTTCATTTAATTTTCAAAGATGATGGTATAGATGTTACAACCAATAATTTGCTGTCTCAGTTTTGCAGTTTACAGCGAGAAAAATTTGATAAATCTATAAAGCCAGCAAGGTTTGACATCCAGTGGAGTTTAATTAGAAAACTGAAAGGTGCTGATGAAAGTACAGTGAACTGTCTAGAATAATGTTAGCCATCATGACAATTTCCCATATTAGTGCAAAGTGCAAGAGGATTTTCAGTATTGTTACTACAACAAGAACTAAATTTAGATCCAGCATTAGTAATGATACATTAGAAAAACTGTTGTATTAGTAATAGCAGGTCTGTGTGGCAACTGTTATGAACAAAATTTCTTTCCTACTGAAAGCAAAATATGCCACTGTTCTTAATATTTTAATGAAAACTGATTCAAATATTTTTCTATTAAAATGTACAAATAATAAAACTTTTTCTACTTTTTGCATTTAAAAAAATAATAGTAACTGAACTTTCAGATATTAATTAGTTACTATTTAAAGTTAATTATTAAAAAATATGTTTTCTTTCTGTATAAGATAGTGTATTTTTATCATTAAAAATCTTTTTGTCATTGAGAAAATTCTCCTGATTAATGAATGCTGAGGATGAGCAAGTGTGACAGTGCTGCATCTCACTTTAGAAACATTTTAAACTGTAGACAACAACAAATCACATTGGACGTTCAAGTGAGACAAAGGCTCAGAGACAAGTAACACTAAGATATAAAGAAAAATAAGCAAAAACGCCTGAGAAAGACAATTACCAGATGTTTCTTTGAAGGACTTCTCATCCAAATAAGCACATCTCTTGCATTACTTTCCATTAATGCAGGGGCAGCAAATTTTTCCCTAGGAGGGCATATTTCAGAAATGCGAGTTTGGTGTACATGTTAGGTGGCTTCGAAAGTAATAGAAATAAATACAGAATTATATCAATATAGAGTTGATTTATGTGGATTATAAAAGTGTCAATGTTTCAAGTTTCTTTTTGAAAATATTGCTATAGCACCAAAACATTGTGCTGAAATGAAATTATTTTCGCAATACCAACCATTGCAAAATCAGTGTTGTCCCTTTTAATTTGAAAAAAGAATGTATATTCTGTTTAAATTTTAAGTACGAAGTCAATGAAATAACAAGTTTATGTGTGAACAGAAGTTCTGGATGTAAAGCGTAGCACGCCATGGTTGGACAGATATACACGGATAATGAGAAAAAAATAATTCACTGTGTGCAGAATCTAAGGTTTTTAGCAGTCAAAAACTGATTCATTGGGTCATGATTTAGTGTAATCTAGATGTCACTAAGTTTTTGTCAAAAGTTGAATTGTATAATTTACATAACTTGTTAAAATGGTGAAAATAAATAAGAATTTTTACTAAAATTGCTCATTAGAATTATGAGCGTTGGTTGTCCAGACATCTAAAATTTAGAATTTAGATATTTTAACAGCAAACATTTTAAAATTGATCTGCTTTAAGTGGTTACGATAGAATTAAAACTCCTCTGTTATTTTTTTTAACATCATTTTTACGTATTTGTTTGACTTTTTTTATTTCCATTATTTTTGTGTTGCACTAAGTGCTGTTGTAAATTTGAAATAAGCAATTATCTGTGGTTCAGTAACAATCCATTTTATATTAATTCCTATGGGGAAAATAGTTTTAGTTTACAAATGATGAGCAACCAAATTTACGACCTAAAGTTTCGCTGTACATTAAAACTACACTATAGACTTTGTCTTATCTTCCATCTACTGTATTGTAATTGGTGGAATTTGAGAAAGATGATAAATATGCTTGTTCTTCCATTAATGGTTTAGTTGTACGTTAAATAAGAGCAAAAACACACATTTCCCCTTCTGTTTAGGAAATAAGATAAGAAGGTGTACAACCAAAGTTATGCTAGAAATTGTGGGATTAATATGTAGATTTCTAGCAGAAAAAGTTTGAAATTTATAGATTATACTGTAATTTTATTTAAAGTAGTTCATTAAACTGAATTTTATACTTACATTTATTTTTGTCCCCCTCTAGGACTTTTCGATTAACTCTCATCTGTGCAAATAATGGTATGTTTAAACTGTTTCCTTGTGTGATACGTTCGTTATAAGAACATCTCTGTGCAGATAGTACAAATGAAGTCTTGTAAAAAAGTAAAGAAGTTAGCTATTTCACCAAGTTAAACCATGTTTATTACATTAGTATTTTAGACTATGGATGTAAAATTGTTTTGCAATATTTGGAATAGTAAAACATTTCATGTTATTTGAATTTAGATTTCCTACAGTGTGTAATATTGTTATTTGTTGATTTTAGAAATAAAATTTAAATTCCTCAGACATTTTTATTTATTTTTACAAAAAATTCTAAACTTTTCACAAAGAATTTGAGTCTTAATGATTTAAAAAAACTAAAATCGTACACATCCAGTAAATGTGCAAAACATGTTACAGTCCTCTTCACTCTCAGCATGCTTGTAATCTGGGTTATAACTTTTATTTTAATAAACCTTTTACTTACAACTGCACTTTGATAAAAAAATATTAACATATTGAGTAATTTATAGAATAGCTTTTTATTTTGATATGTAGCTTCTTCTACATATTGCATAATTTAAGACTGATTAAAATTCAGTTTAACCTTCTAAAACCGGATCGAAATTCTCATAATATAGCCTACCAGCGCGATCCGAAACAGTTTTGCCCCCTCTTTGACATTTTCCTAATGAGAAAAGTCGTTAGTCCCCCTCCATGGATGAAGTAAAATTTACATGTTTGTCGGACGCTTATCTTCCATAGTAGAGGGGTTGCTAGATTTGCAATTTTTTCAATGATTATTTTGCTTTCATTTAAATGAAATTCTAAATAAACAGTTCATAAATAAATATGCAGTACTGGATGCATATCCAGTGCACATTTATTTGCAAAATGCTTATATTTCACTTCATTATTTCTAATCAATCTCGTAAATAATTTGTGAATTTTTTTAACTTTGTTTTCACTCTTCATTTATATTCGTGTATTTTCGTATTAGAAATTGGAAAACGAGAACAAAATTTAACAAAATGTAGTAAATATGGACTAGCTTTGTAAGTCTGCACGCTGGAATGTGATTTTTAATAACATATTTTCATTAAAAAAATAATGGTAATGACCAATTTAATGAAATAATAATATTTATTACCATTAGATGATTAGAATGAGATTCAATACAATTAGATTTTGAGATGAACTTACAGCAATAATAAAGCTTTACATAACAATAAGAGATTTAAATCTGCTTTTTTCGATAATTTTGTTATTATAATAAAAAAATCAAAATCCGAGATACATTGGTTGCGTTTCATCATTTAACTTTAATAAATATTTCATTGGACTATCAGGCAAAGGAGGTATATCTTTAACGAGAATTTTTCTTTGTAAAATTGGCTTTTGTTTATGTTAGCAGAGAAAAAAATCCGTGACCTATACATGCAATCATCAAAAGAATTTTGAGAACAGTTTTAAATGTTCTGAAGAATTAATTATACGTCAATTTCTTTTCATAGGTAGAAATTTCGTCTAAAACTATCGTTATATCCAAAGGTTGAAGTCTATTTCATTTTCAACGAATATTCTATTTGCACATAATGTATTTTCTAATTTATTTTAGAGTAATCTTTCACGTTTTCAAAAGAATAAGGAACATATTGGGTGTTGATACCAATGTAGTAAATTTGTTTTTTCATATTTCTTCCAGTAATGAAAACGATTACCCTGGAATATTTTCAAAGCAAAATTAAGAAAACCGTTTACGCCAAATTTTGCATAAAGTATCTTCTCGTGTATATTTTTTATTTAAAGTGTGGAAATTTTCTCTTTGAAAATATAAAAAATCATGAACTGAGCAAAATTAATTCATGAGAAATAACTTTGAAATGCAATAATTCCATCGTAATATGAATAGTGGAGGAAAGTCCAATACAGTTTATTTATTCACAAATAATCCCCCTCATATGCGTAATTTATGTACTGTCCAATTGAGAAATATAGGTTAGTAATTAAATTCGGTTAATTCAATACTTTTCCTTTATCAATATTTTTACCTGCTCTTCCAGTAAAGCGGTAAAGGTGGCTGAACACTTATAGCTCGCTTGGATTTGAATCCCGGATAAATAGTTGGATTCATGGTTTTTGTGTAACGTAAATGCAAGCCAGCTTCTCTTAGAAAGTCCTCCGCGAAGGCATAACTCCCCTTATACAGGTAATCGTTGGTGTGCTTTGATGTAATTCAGTAAGCAAACAAATTAATCCAATCAAAAACCGAAGAATGGGTTGATTACATGTGGAGTTTTCCACAAGGAACGTAAATGCAAGCAATTTTCTCTTAAAAAGGTTTACACGAAAGCATCCATCCCCTTAAGCAGATAGCGTTCGCATGCTTTCCCGTAATCCAATCCTAATTTTCATACATTTAATAGTAAGTTGACATACACCTTAACATACAACATTCTGACATAAACAGACAAAATAACAACCTTTTTTAAAGATATTTTTTATTAACTTGTCTGAATTCCCTTTATCTCTTGAGGAGTATAAGAATATCAGCAAATAAAACTGGCTGAAATTTTATACAATGTAATTGATGTTTTGATTCAATTTAGAAGTAACGTGAGCTTTACTGATATTTAAATACTTTTTGGCAAATCTCATCCTAAAAGAAGGTAACTAGGTTTTTGTGCCAATTCACAATGTTGCCAATGAGTTGGTGACTTTTTGTGGAGATGCAGATAATCAGAAAGTATCTAAACTTGTAAGCAAAATTTGGGATTCACAGTGGAGGAAAGACAAGATAGAAATTTCACGAGATTTTAAATAGTGAGCTGAAATTTATAGAAAAGTGAGATAGAACATGATATATTAATTAATAAAATAATTAGTAGCAAGTTTTTTTCAAACATTCCTAGCTTGAATTTGCTCATATCTAATGAAAAAACATATGGTAATGATATACATAAGCTCTTTTAATTCAAACAAATAGAATTTAAAACCCATATTTTTATAGAATACCTAAACAGATGTAAGCATCTATTGAAATTTTATTATTTATCTTGCAAAGCATAAAAACTACACACTGGTATTACATGTTGACTATATATGACTGCTTTCTAAAAGATAAACTTTGAGAAAAAAAATATGACTGTAAAGTGCTAAAAAGGAATGGAAGTTGTATGTTTCAGTTGATAAAACAATAATATATATATATATATGATATATGAGTTTCTAAAATAATGGTTAGCTCACTACTTTTCCAATGTTCTCCATTCTTGAATTATTCATTTAATTATTTTATTACGAGAAGCCTTTTATAAATGCAGAACATGATTAATCAGTTCATTTGTAACTCAATAAAACTGTAACATTGTTATTTCTTTTAGTAAATAACAAAGATATAATATATTTCCTAAAAAATTTTAGCTTATTTTTGAGGTAAAGATCAAAATAAAATTCAAATCATGATTTATGTACAAAGTTATATTTGCTAACCAAAAAATATACATCTTTAAAAAAAAAAAAAAAAAAAAAAAAAGTATATGTGATACAATATGCAACACAAAGAAGCATTGTTAATAATGTAAACTTTTTTCCTGTTGTGAAGATGCTTATCACTCATCTTGACCAGTAGTTAATAATCTTAATGCCTTCTGCAGATTTGTAATTGCTGTTGGTACATCTTCATACTGTAGAGCACTACCAGCCCATTTACAATATTTCTGAGCCTTCTGGTAATCTTCAGGTTGCAAATTTACACCTCCTGAAAGTAATTAAAAAAATAGCCATTACAATATTATAAATACAATTTTCTTATGGATTCAAACTCATGCATGTGATATTTACAAGATTAAAAAAGAAAAGGCATTACTTTTTTTCTTTAATCCTGTAGTCAAATAGCATGTAACAAACTGCTTCTAATGCACAGATTTATATTGGATTACTTAATTATGGAATATTATATATTTTTCATCATAAAAATAAAATTAACAAGCTAGTTTGTACTACTAATTTGCAGCAGACAATTAAGTTAGTGTATTTTTTAAGAAACATTATAATTTAAATTAAATAAATCATGACTTCAGCTAAATAATTAAAAAAGACATCAATGACAGATGTAATGGATTACTTAACCCTTTCAGGGGCGGTGGTTTCGCCTTGAAACCGTATTTTCAACATTTTTTTTAATTTAGAATTTTTTTTTTTTCTCAAAACTGCTGCTAAAATTAAATTACTTCTTAAAGCTGATAACAGATGGCAGCACCAAACCTTTTCTATGCAACCATTAATTGATACGAATCATTCAAAAATAGCTTCTTTTGCACCCTACTTCTTTTTGACGCTATTTTAAAAAGCAAAAAACCCAAAAATTTTTAATTTTTCCACAATATATTTTATAAGCAGGCATCAATGAGTAATGAAATGTCCTTAGTTCACAAAAAAAAGTAATGGAACCCTTTTAAATTTGAATGTTTTCATTGCGGTTTCAGTATGAAACCACCGCCCCTCTGAGACATCGAAGAAATGATCAGATGACGCAGTCGCGAGATTTTTTGCAGTTGTGTTTATTGCTTTCGGATCACTGCTGTAAACAGTTGCACAATATCTTCGTTTGAGTGGCTTCAAAGATGAGGATTTATGGAGCTTTTAAGAGAGGAAAAACATTTAGAGCCACACTGAAAAACACTCGTAGTTGCGTATTTTATTATGCTTCTCTTAGCGGTCGCTTTTCTTATCTCTAGTTCAGAGTAAAATAATTGCATGCATCTTAATTTATTTTACTTTTACATATAATTTTCTTAGTTTTTAAACATAATTTTTTAAATATTTCATAGTTTTTATGCAAGTAATTTAGTGCATTATTAGTTACTTTTTGTCTCATACTTTTTTGTTTCCGGTTTTAAATTTTTTATTTATAATTAAAAATGCGTGTTTATGCAAATATTACTTACTTTATTAGTTGTTCAGTAATTTACTAGTATAATCCGCAATTTGGGTTACGTTTAGATACTTTTCAGCAAAGTAAAGATAAATAAGCAAATGTTTAGTCTTAAGTGCTCTAGACGGGCGCTAGTTTCAAGGCAAAACCGGTCCGCTTTCCATAAAGGGGGAGGAAACAAATTTTTTTTAAACTCATTTATGTTGTCTATAGGACCATTGCATATCATTATGCTTACTTTTTCATAACTTTTAAAAAATCATAACATTGCGTCCCTGAAAGGGTTAATTTATGCACAGCATAGTAATGTTGAGTCGATTTTGAGAAAAAGATCCCATGCTGGAAACCAAAAATCTACTGCTCTTCTTCTATACCACCAAACTCTCCATGGGAATTCTTTATCAATAGATTTTAAGTCCCCAACATCACAAAGACACTAGGATCATTCAAACGCATGCCTTCTAGGGGATTCAACAATAAGCACAATGGTATGTGCAGTTAGCTTCTATCACCCAGGCCAAAACAATGAAATAAATTCTATAAAAGTTGAATAATATATAAACTTATTAAATTCAAAAGCACATAGATATCATGATGATATGGTTGCCAACCTTTGAAATATGAAAAACTGGAATGTTCTTATACTTTCCAGAAATTCGTGGTTTATTGCTGTATGGCAACGACATTTCAAAAAAATTCCAAACTGATAAATTCATTCTATAATGCATGATTGATTACTGAATTATTTATGAAGTAATTCTGATATAAAATATATCAATATTTAATTATTAAGTTCTTTGGCAATTTTTTATACTAAGATATCTTGAGTAGGGAAGAAATGCTTTTATTTACCAAAAGTTCTTTTAAATGCAATTGAAAATAAAATAATTAATGTACTTACTATTGTATGGATCAGTCTAGAAATGTACTATTTAAAGATGTAAAACAAACTTAAATGCAGATATTAACTGACAAAACATAATCTGAATTTTCATAAAAAGTCCTATAAATGTTTAAGGAAGATTAAGACAATTCAGATAAAAAATATTAATAAAAAAATTCTGCTAAAAAATCATTGAAGATTGGGATTGACAATTTAAGTTTCAATAATTAAAAAAAAATTCAAATTATTGCTGTTAAACAATTTCCTTCCGGGAAGTATGATGAAAAATTGGGAGAGTATATGCTATGCAGTAATAAAATTGTACAAGTTTTTCAGCATTAATTATGCATCTAATTTTCTCGTTTTAATTCAAAATTTAAATACATTGATCTAGTCATTAAGCTGAAATCATAAACTTACGATTATTTTTCGAAACGATATTACAGAAATTGTGCAAATATATATGTCCCCAAAGACATTGGAATACTTAATTTCATTTTTAATCCATAATTTACAATGACTACATAAAAGAAAATTCTCAAAGCATTGTCTCCAAAAATCGTGGTAAAAAAGCACTGAAAATCTTTTCAGTTTAACTCTTTTGAAACAGAACATAAAATTTAGTACATAAAATAGAGTATTTTTTTTTTCAATACTCTGAGATTCGATGTCTTCATAATTTTTATATTAATGTATAAGATATTTCTGTAATATTCGCGTGGTTCATATTAGGATGCAACAATTTTGCAGAGTGATGCCTAATTAATGATGCCAATTATTATTAGAATATAATAATTAGTTACATTTAGTGTTATAAAACATTCTAATAAAGTTGCTTTGACATGAAAATTCTGAGCATTTATGACTTGTGATCTAATTGTTTAGGTAATAATGTATTTTTGGTATTCAAATTTATACCTCATTGTAATTGTGAATTTCTTACATTATATAATAAATAAGTTGCTAAAATAATTCTGTGAATTAAATTAATATTTAATGAAAGCTAAACTTTTGAGAATTTGTATTACATATAAATGAACAACTTTATAATGTTTTAATATATGAATATTTAAATAGAAAACCAATAAGGAAAATTTCAAAAGTACACAGATACCTGTATTTTCTGGTTGTGTATTAATTTCTGTGATAGAAGTTGTTGGTGACAATTGATTTGTACCATTAGGGGTAGAGGGGGGTGCATGTGCTCCTGGAACTGGTAGATTAAAGCCTTCAGGTTTGTAATTAGGCATGTTGAATAATCCACCCACAGGATAAGGAACTTGTGGCTGTTCAGAAGAGTTATACGCCTGACCCCCATCTGATGGAGTAAAACCCAAATTTTCTTCTTCAGCTTCGCCTAAAAAATACATAAAAAAATTGCATTAATAATTAATTAAATTTTAAATTGTATAAAAATGCAGAATGTGAATTATTTTCACAGCATAATTTCAAGGTAAAACAGCTTTACAACAATAAATTTTCTTATTTATTATACAATATCTAATAATCTATAATTTAATAATAATATCTATCTAATCATTTATAATATTATATCTAAAGTTTGTTCTAGAAAAAGGAAGAGATCAAACTACTGAAGGTACATCTAAATAACAAAAGCTAAAATATATTAATATTGCTGCATGCATGAGGGTTCGTAATAGATTGAATGCAAACAGGTTAAATGATAACTTGATAAAATTTATTTTGTATCAAAGGAAGCAATTCTTCAACTTTCCACAAAAATACTTGTACAGCTCTTCACAGTATCCAAGAGTATAATTAGTAGTTACACTTCAAACTACTAATAACGTTAAACACAACAAATTGCAAAGTGCATCTAAAGAGTGAAGCTAACCCAGAGATATCTCAGAACTCAAGCTGAACTAACAACACACAACTGAGAGCAGATGTTTTCTCTGGTCTTATATAGTTTTTCACCTAGCTGCCAAGATATATCAAGTACTTTCTCCTTCTCGAAATTAATGACAGGCACATGAGGGTCGAATTACAGTTACAGCTACATAGAGGATCAATTACAATACTCATTACAGTTATACAGGGACTGGACCCAAATGTCACCAAATGGTTGCCAAGTTTGGAGATTTCTGAAGATAAAAATTAGTTGCCAAAACTATTGCCAACTTGGCGATATCTCGGCAAATTAGCAAGATAGCCATTTACTCAATGTTAAATAGACTTGCCCCTGTATACTTACTTTTCCAGCAGGCTTTGCTTCTTTAGATTTTCATGTTGCATTATACAAAAACAACAATTTCACATATAACTGCACTAAAATCATCTACCTATGTACAAAATTTTTAATACTGCCCCCTTCCCAAGGATTGCACGTTCCAGGCAGTACAATCCTTGAACAGGAAGCCATACTTACAACTATGGCAAACCAATGCAATACTTAATAATATCAGTAAATAACATAAAAATATATCAAATACAAAATCAATAAATGAGTGCATAAATTTGGAAGCAAATAGGACCATGGTCACCATGGGGACCATGTACTATGGTAATAGTAAGGAGCTAGCCTACCATAAGGAATGACTTTAGGCTTAAAATTTGACAACTTACATATCCAAACTATGACATCATTCAGCCTGTATAGGACTGCCCCAAAGTGACTGTAGTTTAGGATTCAGTTCTTTTCATCGAATCGAATTGCATAACCAAATCTTGTCATCATTAAATTGATGCCCTTTAGCTTTCATGTTGTATCTGGTTTCATCTTCTCCATTGCCAAACTGACTCGCTCTCATGCAAAATTATGCATGGCTTCAAACCATGCCGAGAGATCTTAAATGTAGTCCTCAGGAATTGAAGGTGCATCCTGAGGGCGATAAAATAACAGATCACAAGGAAAATTAAAGTCACGGCTGAAGAGCATCTGGGATGGGAAATAGCCGGTAGTCTCTTAGATAGCACTGCTATAGAAAAGTGAAAACAGAAATAACTTATTGTCCCGCTTTTGTTGATTTTTGAAAACCACCAGTGAAAGGTTATTAAGGACGGTTTGATTAAACCTCTCTACCATGCTGTCTGACTAGAGATGTAAAGGTGTCGTTTGGGTTTTGTTGATGCCAAGTAGCTTGCAGACTTCTTCAATTACATACAGATGAGATAAAATTTCTTCCTTGATCAGAATGAGACACTCTGAATCTGGAAATCCAATGCTGTATCATTTTCTCCGCTATTGCGACAGTTTCTTGAACATTTCAGGCCACTTGGTGAAGTATTAAATGACAATGAGGATGTATTTGTTGCTGTCAGCAGTTTGTAGCAGAAGTCTCAAGATATCAAAGGCGATATGTTCAAAAGGTGCTCCTACAATGTAACGTTGCAGTTTCCCTTGGCTGTGTTTCTTTGGTCTTTCGCAACTTGCAGACATCGCAAGATCAGGACCACTTTTGCATGTCATCCTTTACATTACTCTGGTAGAAGTGTTCTTGAGCTCTATACAAAATCTTCATTACTCTAAAGCAATTATATTATATTAAAATTATAAGGCTGCTACGTAGTTCTTTAAGGAGGTATGGGATCCACGATCTTGGAATTATCAACTGCCAAAGCAAAGCCTTTCCATCATCTGATCTGGACTTCTTGTACAATATGCTGTTTTGAATATGCATGTTCCAGAGAGCACAATACTGTTTTAACATTGAAATTACTACCCAGGTAGGTTTTCTGTTTGAAAACTCCGATAAGTCAATTATAGCTTTGATGTCAACGTCTTCCAACTGGTATTTCCTGACTTTGTCACAGTTGATTACACAGCTCGATTTTGCTTCAATCCTGGAAAAACATTGGCAGATTTCTGGGCAAGGTCTTCTAGATAGGGCGGTCAGCATTTTCATGTGATGATCCCTTCCGATGATGGACAGTGATGCTGGCCTTCAAGATTCTTGAAGTTCAAATGACAGGTCAGTGATGTATGATCTGTAGTAGCAGGAATTTTCTGCCCTGAAGATAATGATGGAAATGTTCTATGACTTTAAGTATGGCAAGCAACTCTTTCCTGGTGACACAGTAATTCTTTGTTGTTCAATTTGTTGTTCCACAGGAGAAATTCTCTCTTCGATTTGTTCTTTGACAGAAGAAACTCTTTCTTCTATTTCAGGAATTTTGTTTTCAACTGTGTCTATTCTGCCTTCCACTGCCTCAAATTTGTTTTCTATTATGAAGATATTTTCTCTTTTCATTTCCTCTTGACCTGCTTCAATCTTTTCTTGAATAGCTTTCATATCCAATTTAACTGATTCTTGGCAAGCTTACATCTTCTCTTGACCAACTTTTATTTCTTCTTTGATGGATTTGACAGCCCCTTCCATCTTTTCTTGAAATGCAGCAAAGGCCATCGTTAAACACTCTTCACACACTATAGAAGCAATGCAAAGCACATGTATAGAGCAAAGCTAACCCGGAGATCTGAGTACTTGGAACTCATACTGAATTAACAAGTCACAACTGAGAACAAATGCTCTCTCTGGTTTTATATAGTTTTCATCCTGCTGCTGAGCTAGTACTTCCTGCTTCTTGAAATTACTGGAAGGCATATGAGGGCTGAATTGCAGCTACAACTACACAGAGAATAAATTTCAGTTATTCAATTACAATACTCATTATACTTATACAAGAACCGGATCCAAATGTTGACAAATGGTTGCCAAGTTTAGACACTTTAGGCAATTTCTCGCCAAATTAGTGAAACAGCCATTCACTCAATGTTAAATAGACTAGCACTTGCATTCTTACTTTTCTGGCAAACTTCACTTTTTCAGATTTGCATGTTACATAATACATAAGAATAAAACAATTTCACATATAACTGCTCTAAAATCATTGATGTATAAAACTTGTAAAATTATATTAAAAATTATGACAGTTGTGTGAGTAAACAAAGCATACATTGAATAGTTGTAGATGAATCTTTTTTTTTTTTTTTTTAATATATCTACACATTCCAAATAAAAGCTTTATTACTAATTCAATATAGTGCATGCAAATAGTCGCAAAAATAAAAGCAATGTATTTCTGATGCAAAATTTAAATTTTTTAACATATTTCACAAAATGATAGATTCATTGTCACTGTATATTGAAATTCTGATTATTTTCCCCTTAGTAAATCTAAGGAGTTACCCTAGTTCTGAAGGAGTTTTTATTATGTTCAAGATTTCAGGTTATTTTTTCCTTCGTAAACATGAATTTCAAGTATCATCCACCATATATGCAACAAACAATGCTAATTATCTTTTTGGTGACGCAAAGATCGTGATCTCTATATCAAATCACAAACTTATACCTAACTGTAAAATAACTAAAAATCATATTGTTTTTGTTACATACATACTCCCATATTATATATATTTCTGTTTTCATAAATTATATTACCAATTAATATAATCATTTGCAGCTTAGCAACAGCACAGCCTCACCTCATGCACATTATTAGTTGCAAGTAAACTTCATTTGGATGGAGGCTAACTTGGACAGCATGCAATTATTTATTTATATGAGTATGGCAAAGTACATGAAGGCTATTTACCTAAAGGATGGGATGCTTTTGAAGAGGATTTTAAAAGATAAAATAGCTTGTATTTACATCACACATAGAAAAATCCATGCAACCACCTTATTTGCTAGAATTCAAACCCAGGTGGAACTTTAAGTGTTCAGTTATGGTGACATAAAATATACTTAATAATTCTGTACAGTGTCTATGCTATATGTGAATTAAGCAATCATACACTATTATTCTTCACTCAATCATACACTATTATTTATTAAAGATAATTAGCATTGAAAAAGAAATCGTTTACAGATTTTGTGTTTTCTCTTAAACGAATAACTATAATACTTCTCATACAGTCAGATTTTAGCTATGAATATTTATTTTAAAAAAATGAAATGAAGACACAAGCTTGTATTCTAACAGGATGCATGCATGTAATAAAAGAGGGCATAACTCTGTCTAAGAGTGCCTAAGTGTTTTCTCACAGATTTTCCCTACCACAGTTCATTATTTTTACTTTCTCACTGACTTGACACTTTTTGTATGATGTCAATAATCAGAAAAATATAAAATGAAATCAGCTCCAAATATTCTGTTTACAGGGATTTGATTATTGATTTATGGAAAAGAGCTGGAAATGTGTTTATTTAAGAAAATGAATACCTTTGTGAAAGATTTCAAGGAAGACTGATTCATACATAATATACATAGAGACAAAATTCCATGGAGGCAGCCTGCTTAGTTATGAGCTACACAATGTAAATAAACAGACTCAGATACGCATACAATGAAATACACAATGTTTCACAGCTTTAGCCACTTAGTCACTAGTTGCCTTGCAAGCAGAATGCATAAAAGCAAAATACTACATACACTTATATAAGACGCTTTGTTGTAAAATTAGTAAACTACCATGGAGTTCATAAGAAGCATTATTATTGTTACGTTATTTTCTTCCTTCACGTTCGTACGAGGTTCGTCAGGATTTGGAGTGAATACAATTTTTGGATTTTGGATTTGGACAATACTACTTGATGAAGTACTTTATTTACCAATATTAATCAGGACAGCTCCAAAAACACTTTTACAGTCGTCGAAGACCTATAAACACGCTGACATGATCAGCGACACAGCCTTCAGGTTATCAGGCTATCACGGTGGAGACAGCTTCACTGCAAGGCACCAGAGTACAGCTCCCGACTCAGCTTGGTCGTTCTCGGAACTACGCGTACTCTCGAGACTCTCCACGCTACAACTCGCGATGCACTCAACGACACACAGAGCACGGCTCCCAACTCTTCGGTTCACTAGATGATACACTCATACACTAACTAGATGAGACACTCATACTCTAGACGAGGCACACTCACTCGCCCTCTTGATGAGGCACTCTAACTTGCCCTCTCGATAAAGCACACTCTCGATACTAACTGACTGACGCGAACCAGCAGGGTTTATATAGCTTTTGGCTTGTGTTCGAGAACGTTCTAAGCTAAACCGGTAAGAATTCGTTCCAGAAGTTTCTCCATCAGTCCATGGCATATCACCAATTTTGTCGCCAAATGGCGATTTCTTGCCAAATAAGGCAACCCTGCCTTCTCTTGCCATTTTATGTCAACCCTGAAACTGCTTTGCGGGCAAGCCATCTCACCGCGCCTTGGCATTTTGTAACATTATTAATTACCAATGTTCAAATCATAAAATACAGATATAGTATATGTTTTATGATTTCAGCTATTAAAGTTTATAACATAAAATTAATCAAAAATAAATTACACTAATTTAAAAAACCATTACATGGAAAATGCACTATTTAAACAAATTTAAAAAGGAAGCACAAATTATAGACAAAATGAAAAGTGTATATTTTCATTGATTTCATTTCCACAAAATAAAAATTTTTAAATATATAATAGTCTGCCATAATTCTTTTTAAATGTAGTTCCAGAATGATTTACCCGAATGTACTTAAAAACAAAGAAATCAATATCAAAATCAAATTTTATAAAAAAAAAGAACTCACCACCTTCTCCTTCCATTGCTATTGGTCCAGCAACCGGAGTAATGCCATTTTTTAAACAATTATGTATGTAAGTGGCTTTCCACTTGGCATACTTCCTGTGATGAAGCACCTAAAACAATTAAAGAAAAAATTAAGGAATAAAAAAAGTCACTGCTAAAAAAGTTTGGTAAAAATAAAAATAATGCATAAGTTTACAATAAATGCAGTTAAATATAAATATGAATAAAGAACTTAAGGACATTAAAATAAGTATCAGAAGTATTACACAACACTTATAGTTTCAAAAAAATTCTAAAAGTAATACTAATAATGATTACATTAAACGCATAAAAAGTTGATTATTGTGATAAAAATATTATAAATTCCGAAACTGAGACTTAACGCATATTCAAATTTATCAACAAAGTACAATCCTAGATACACATATGTAGAAGGATTCTCTTTTGGCCTTGAAACTTAGAGCTCTGAAATATTAAAACTTAACTTTTTACTTTTGAAAACTCTACATTATCAATATTACATAAAAAGAAATTCCAACTATGGGATTATTTCCTGAATAATTCGGTTATAATTGATTTTTATTGGCTAATATAAAAAATATTGGATTAAATATATGATTATTATCACTATTTAGAATTTGCTAGGCAGTGCATTCAAGCTAATGAAATATTTTGTAACATTATTTAGTCATAGTTAGTACAGAAATGGATTTATTGAAACTTGCTGCATTTGCATTACAATAAACACAAATATGTTCATTATATCCATATCTTTCTAAAAATGCTGATGAGTCAGATGTCTTCATAAAAGGAAAAAAACTGCTCATGTTGAAATGTTTTTCCATAAGCTTTTTCAGTCATATATCTCCAGTTGATTATACTTAAATACGCATAGGCATGTATTAAATAGAATTTTTTGTATGATTAATATCAGATACATTCTAGTTACCTGCACCCCCCCCCAGAAAATCATCAACTCATTGGGAATTTTAAAACTGGTAAAAAACATTTGTTTGGATATCTTCATGGTTCATAATACAATTTTATTTCATATACAGTAATATAAAAGAAGCATTTTATCGAAAAATAAATGTCAACATGGCTGATATTTACATTTTTACACACAACTGATACTGTTCTAACATTATGCTTAAATTTTTAGTACTATATGCCCACTGAATTCAGTCAATAAGAAATAGTTTCATTGAATGTGGATTTTTATATGTTCTACTGCTATAGCATATCTGAAGGAATACAATAAATGCATCATTTTCTTTTTCACTAGCTTATAAACTCTACGGTCTCATTACGATTACAAATTGTGGTACAAGCATGAGTGGGTTGGCTATTCATATGTACGCTTGAAAATATGCCAAAAATATGGTAATTCTACAAATGCTGAAACCAAGGATATGGAAAACTAGAAAGTACTAAATATAAATTTTATGCCAAAGAGTAGGGCTCAGAAATTAATATATATTCATGTTTTCATGTTGTTTTCATGTTATTCAATTTTAAAAATACCACTGGTGTAAAAAATCTCTCACATTTTCAAATACAACTTTATCCAAAGAAGGCAGGTTAATAACTATAATACAAATAATCACCTCCTCACTTGGTTCTCCAAATGTATTTGCTACGTCATATATGAAACCAGAAGTGTAAAAGGCCTTAACCACATTTCTGTAAAAACAAAATATATTTATTAAGTATCAGTAACATCATACAGTAAAACAAACGTTTAATTACATATACTTAATGCTGATAACATTAACTGAGATGATGCTAACTAAAGATTCTAAAGAATAGGGCATATGAATTCCTTATATATGAAAAGTAAGAACATGAAAAACATAGAACACATTCATGTTTATGAACAATGCATACACTCTTATAAACAATCTCAGTAAGGATAATGTATAGTGTGTGCACACATACAATGCAAACTCTTTCTCATACTGGGAACCAAATGTTGTTTCGTAGTAATTAACTGATGCTCTAAAACTTTCTAATTAGAAGTTTTGCTCTATCTCTTTTCATTTTTGATCTGCAATGCCTATCTTCCAAATTTTCCCACTAGGGACGTTGCTATCGTTTGCATTTGGTGGGGCAGAGTCGCTTTACTATATCATTACCTCACTTGGACAGCTGAGCTCTCTCTGTTGGCAAGAATTTTCAGGTTTAAGGGACTTTACTATGCAGCCTGTATACATAACATACATACTGATAAAAGTATTATAACCAACAATTTCACAGATGGTACAAAATTCACCTTCATATAAAAAAGTAGTTAAACTTGGCCTTATAAATATTATAAAGAAATATATGACAAGTGTTTACTGTAGTTTTAAAAAAGATTTTAAAAGACTATGGTTTACAGTGATTTTACTTTCATTGAGGTAGCACAACATGAACCTACTTAATGTCAATTTAACAAAATTGAAATGTTTAATTACTTGCATTAAGAAAAATCATACTTGTTGAATCTTCCAGATCGATCTTCATTATCTGCCCATAAAAACAACTTCAAGGCATAATTTTCGATATGAGCTTGAGCTACAACATCATTTGTAATCGTTTCATCATCATGTCGCTTTTTTTTCTCCTGTTAAACATAATGGAAAAAAAAGTTTTATATTTATTAAAATACATCTCATGCAACATATTTTAACTATAATAAAATATTATTTGAAATAGAGCTTAAGAAGTGCATGCCAAGTTACAGTAAAAACTTGAAGTATAAAGCAAGTGTTACTACAGTGTTACATCACATGCCTAATTTAGTCAGGGAGTTACCAAAATAAATAAATAAAATGCAGATAAATAAAAATAATTTTCTGTATGAATATGTCATACAGAAATGAAATTTCTGCATTAATTAATAATTTCAAAATGAAAATTATTAACTAATATAGGTAATATGTTTGTAGAAATTACATAGTGTAATTTCTACTAACATATTCCTTTCCTATGATCTACAGTCAAAATTTTCAATTAATGTAGAAACCATTATACTTTTTATTTACAAGTAATAAAAAATGATAATTTCAAAAGAAACAGATTATTTATTATACTTAAAATACAAGTAATGAAAAATTCTGAAATAGAGCACAAATACATACTCAAATTATGAGCATTTATTTCTAACCATTACTTTGAGTACAGAAAAAAAAAAAAAATTATAAGTAGTCAAAAGTGAAATTAACTGACTCTATGTTATCCCAGTAAACTTTCCACACATATATATACTGCTTATCAAAATTGTAGATAATCTGAAAAAATTCTGCAAACTAATTATTTATTTGCAACTGAACATAAAACTGGAGTTTTGTCATAGGTTAAAGCATGAAATATACAAACTAGGTGACTGAGAAGTAGGGTTCACAAGTTTTTTTCCAGGGCAGAAAAAACTGGCTAAAATAAATTGAAGACATGGATTTCTGAATTTACTTTTACATTTACATTTTATTCTTGTACAGTACTCTTATTAGTCCAAAGTGGCAATTTGCCCAGAAGGACTATCAATTTCATTTTGGCATTTTGCGTTGGTTCACTATAAATGTTGGTTCACTTTTCAGATTGTTGCCACCAAATATTAGAGCCCTGTATTATATTTAAAAAAATTAAATAATGAAGAATCTGCATAAATGTATGCATGTTTCTCTCATTGTGATAAAACAATGGTACCTAGAGCCATCCAATTTTGAATAAAGTACATTTACATCTGAATATGAACATCTGGAAGCCCAAATTTGAAATTTGTTTTATTATCTTTTTCATATTTTGTAAAACTTAATAAATTTTTGATTAACAAACTCAATGATTTCAAAGCAAGCAATGGCAGCACTGTACGGGGGGAAACATGTTTATCTCTAGCGCGCGAGACTGTGATTCGGAAATTCTAAAGATATGCTCATTTAAAAATTATTTTGTGATATTGCTGAACTGAATTTTATGGTTTAAGTGCAAAGAACATGATATTTAATAAATAAAGGTAACACACAAAATGTTAAAAAAAAACCCTTTGGGTGTAATGTAAAATCTGAAAGCTTTCATATTTTATTATTTTATTATTTATTTAAATCTTTATATAATATATATATAATTATTTCTAAAAACCGTATTGAAATTGATATATTATCTCCTAAGTTTAATTAAAGTAGAATTATTTTAAAAAAGTGTTCATCCATACTGGTAAGTTATATTTTGAAAGATGTTTTGAAGTAATTTGAAAGCAAAATGTTAATAATGTTTTTTAACGGGGACTAGAGTTAAATCCATCATGAAGAATAAAATTTCCAATTGTAAAAGGAAAAATTAAAAACATGTAATCATTGTCATTGATTGGAAATTAGTTGACTTTTCAAGGGGAACAAACCAAATCCCGTTCAATGAACAATAATTGACAAAATACGTAAATACGAAAGTTTTTCGTCTTTACTCGAGTTATAAGTAAAAGCCAAACCGGCAATTCTAGTCAAGCCAAATATTTCCGCGAATAGAAGGTATTATGAACCAATGCTGATAGTGATACTCAAAGAACTTATTCATATGAAGCATTTTAGTCAATTCAGTTTGGAGTAAAAATCAATTACTGTAGAGAAATCCTATTTAAAACTCGAGTAACCGTCCCCGACACCTTCATGTTTATGCATTTGAGTCTATATTATTTGTAGAAATTAAACATTGGAAATTGTTCATTATGAAATCGAATTCAAAGTAAAGTTGAAATAAACATAGAAGATTATAAAAAAAAGATAAATAATGCAAAAACTTTGTAAAAACAAATCAAAGACAATATAAAATATAATATAGAAATAATATAATAAAGATCAGTGAATGTACATGAAGATATAAAGGCCAGAAAAGGTATTAAAGTAACTTACATTCTTTCTAGAGGGGGAGTTGGCAAAGTGTTCTCTTCGTGTCTGACTCAGAAGTGTTGGGTGTCCGAAAATTCTTAGCGGCAGTGGGGGCTTTGAATAATATCAGTCGGTAAGACTTGGGTGAAGTAATTTATGGTAGTGGGTGGGACTTGGAATTCTTGAGGGATGTATTTTGTGGAGTTCTTATCTGAGAGAGACTGTCTGTTAAGATTTTTTTGAAAATACTATTGAATGGAAATTTAATTAATTTCTGGCTAATTGTCGTGTCACAATGATTAAGAATTTAAGAAAGGAAAAAGGAATTTTCACTGTCCAAGAGCTAATGACAGTCTAAAGGCATGAAATAGGCCCCATTTTTTTAGTAACAGTATAGTATAACAGTATATGTCTGAAGACAATTAGCTTTTTACAATATATACAATTGAGTAATTACACTATATACAAATCTTCAACTGACAGTCATCCAACTTATACCGCCTTCTCAGGTTTAGGAACAAATTATCATATCCCTATCAGTTAAATGATTTAGAGTGAGTATTTAACGCCTGCTCTTTTAAGGCAATGGTTGATAAATTGAATGGGAATTAGATTATTTTTGAGAATTTTGATAAGGATCAAAATTTCGCGTTGTAAATCTATTGTATCTGTGCATATATTTTAATTCGTTGTATTTGATTAATTATAGTATTGTTAATTACTTTTTTGGATATGTTGGAGTTCCAATTTATTACAAATGGATTTAAGATCATACAACGTTATATATATATATTATATATATATATATATAATTTTCATTGGTATGCTTAGAATAACTTTTTAATAACACACGCTACACGGATATATATACTGAAGTGCCACTGAATTAGGGATAGCAAGACAATAACAAGTTGGGCCTCCTTTGGCTTTGATAACGGCTGCCACACGATGAGGTGTAAATGCAGCAAATTTGCTAGAGCATTCCATGTAAAGGCTTGCCAAACATCCACTAGTACATAATTCAGGAAAGTTCGCTAGTGTTGTGTGACATCCTTTCACACCTTTCTCCAAAGCATCCCAGGTGCTCAATAGGATTTAAGTCAGAGCTTTTAGGCAGCTAGTTTATGACAAAGAAGTCAGAAAAATACTCACCCAACCAGGCAGTAGCCAATTGGTAACTGTGAGAGGTGCAGTTATCTTGATGGAATGCTCCATTTTCATGTGAATGGCAAGAAAACATAAATGGATGGAGGTGATTGCCCAGCAATTCTACGTACTGTATCATGTTAACAGAGGTTAGTACAAGCACCAGAAATCCCAAATGCTGCAAAAAGAAAACACCCTAGACCCCAATTGAGCCACCATGGCCTTGTAAAGTTCCAACCTGGCATGCAGGATACATGGCTTCATGAGCCTGATGGCATATTTTCAGACTCCCGTCAGCATTAAGTAGTCGGAATCAAGACTCATCACTCCATGCTACTCATTTCTAGTCATTTAGAGTCTGTTCTCTGTGTTCTCTTGCCCAGGCATTCTTGTTGGTCTATGGCTCCCGAAGCCCATATGGTGAAATAAGCGTTGTACACTCTGTTTACTGACTCTACAACCGGCACTGTGGTAATTTCAGTTAATGTTTGGATTCCCTGGCTACGTACAATAGGACTGAGCTGTCTCACATCACTCTCATTCAAGACTAATTGTTCTTTGCAGTTTGCCCTGTGTATTTTTGGTATATATTCTTGACACTGTTGACTTTGAAAATCCTAGCTTTCTGATGATTTTGAAAATGAATGACCCATGCATCAAGCACCCAATATTTGCCGGCAATCAAAGCTTTCTAAATCAAGAAGTTTTACCCATACTGGCAATTGAAATTACCGATTAACAACCACAGTACTAGTTATATATGCAGTTACCACAGTGACCACATGTTAGCATAAATATGGTGCAGCATACACAAATTTGCATAGCCATGTCTATTCCTAATTCAATAGCACTTCAGTGTACATAAACATACATATACACTAAGTCCCAAGTCTAGACTTCCAGTATCTGGATGTCTAGACCACTAGCAGTTTTATTTCCTTACAAAGTCTAGGACTCAAGAATATAATGTTCAAGAAAAAGTAGGTGTGCTGTAAAAGTTATTTTTCTCTAGAATAATTGAGATTCTTCTATGTCACTTTCAAACACTGCTGTCTTGGGAATCACACTGTAGCCAATGACAATATATTAATTGATGCTATCATGACGTTTGCCATGACCACTCAGTCAGTCCTTGAATGGTTGGAGTGTAGCATTTTTCTATAGGACTTAAACAATTAGTAAAGACCAAAGCCATATTTATTTGGAAAAGATTATCATTCATATGGTTTTCATTCAATGGCATAGCAATGTGGAAGGGAAAATGAATTAAATTCTCAGGACCATAGCATGACCATGCTGTCAGTCCTTGAATGATTGGAGGGTAAAATTTTTCTATCGGACATAAACAATAAGTAAAGACCCAAGACATATTTATTTGGAGAAGAATATCGTTTATACTGGTTTCTTTCAATGGCATAGCAGTGTGGGAGAGAAATCTAAGTTTATCAGTTAATGCAGCAAACTGCATTTTCTCCTTAACAATCTGATATGAAGCAGCTTATTATTTTGTTTTATTATTAGTAATCTTATCAAAATTACAGTTTTAGTAAATGATAACATCTCTGTTTCACTCTTTCTCCAAAACTGTACACCCATCAATTAGCCAGTGGATATCAGAGTTTGCACGAACTTGAAATTCAAATATAAAGTAGCTTTTCAGAAACCAATGCTGAAGTAAGACCATCTAAGAATTCTAGAAATATTTTAATAGAAATTCTGATGTATGGGGCACTGCAATATCATGAGATGGTGTGCTTGCAGGTATTTTTAAAAATGCTTGGCATTACTTAGCAACTAAATTTCATGATGATAATAAGGGCCACAAATTTGAAGAGGGTAGTTACATGATATCCCGTCCACTGTGAAAGTTGGCTGCAATAATCCAGTTGTGGCAATCATTCTTACGAAATTCAGAAAACAATTGGTGGAGTTTCCTTATTTAATAAACAATCAGTATTCGACTCACTTCATAAAAAAAGGCTTTCTTTAATTTCCACTATTTTGTTAGGCCCTCTGATTTCACCATCGGCCAAATGGTAAAATCTCTGACCAATGTTAGTTCTGACCTGGTTTTAATTCTTGATTGACCTGGTCCACTGTGAAAGTTGGCTGCAATAATCCAGTTGTGGCAATCATTCTTACGAAATTCAGAAAAAAATTGGTGGAGTTTCCTTATTTAATAAACAATCAGTATTCAACTCACTTCATAAAAAAAAAGGCTTTCTTTAATTTCCACTATTTTGTTAGGCCCTCTGATTTCACCAGCGGCCAAATGGTAAAATCTCTGACCAATGTTAGTTCTGACCTGGTTTTAATTCCAGGTGAATGGGCTGGCTGCATGAGTATTTTCATCATTTTACCTGTGTGTTGTAACGTGTATTTGAACTAGTTTCCCTTAAAAATCCTTAATGAAAGCATCCCTCCACTTCGGCAAATAGCTTTAGTGTGTTTTGCCATAATCAAATAAATCTAATGAAACTTTTTTTACCAGAAGCTTCGTTTAGAATGCTATAAGTACAAACTTCTGGCCGGTTACAGTTACAACCTATTATCTTTTTGTCATATCATGTGAATAATTAAGGTCGTACAGAAATGAATGACACAAATGCTGCCATACAGAGCAGAATACAATTTATTAACAAAAACTGATAGTACAGCAGTTAGAAATAATCTTCGCACAAGTCAATATACTTCTGCCATCTGGCTGAAAGGTCCCAGAGGGCTTTGGTAAACCAGTCTCTGGGGGTGTTCGTGCACCAGCTTATTAGTTATGGACAGTTGCAATGCAATCCTGCAGAAGATTCAACATGTTGGTCCTTGACTGCATCCTTCATCTTGTCACACAAGACACAGTACGAAGGAGCCATATCGGATGAATACGAAGGGTGTGGCTACACAGTGAAACCCAATGCCTGTAAAGTGTCATGGGTGTTCTGGCTGGTGTGGGGACATACGTTATTGTGCTGCAACAGCACGTGCATGTCCATTTCCCTGGACGGTGCTGCTGAATGCGCCATCACAGCGTTCTAACAACCTCACAGTACTGGTTGCTGTTGATGGTGCACTTATTCTACGAGAATGCCCTGGACATCCCAAAAGACTGTTGTCATTTGTCTCTGCATGTTTATTGCCTACCTAAACTTCTTGGGATGTGGGCTTGATGCATGCTTCCACATTATGGAGCTTTTTTTTTTTTCAGGAGTGTCGTGCAAAAACCACGGTTCGTCCCCCATGACTAGGAAGAAGCCGGCGGACAAAGAAGCCATTCGGATCGGCATAGTGTGATGCAAGAAGTTCTTTGCAGATGCCGGTGCACTTCCCCTTTTGTTGAGTTCCCATGCATGAGGTTCCCATTTTGCACACACATTGGTCATCTCAAATCACCATGCACAGTCACCTGCAACGTTCCTTGTGCAAGCCCTGTCTCTTCCTGCATCTTGTTGAACGTTATGCGCCTGTTCATCATGATCAAATCAGACAAGGCTGCCACATTTGCTGCTGTACGTGATGTTGCTGGTCATCTGTGCTGACACCTTTGGCTGCAATCTCCACTCCACTCCACTGCCGAACTTGGCCAACCAACAGTATATGGTACGCCTTGGGGTGCTTTGTTCGTGCACACTGATAGCATACGACGATGGATCTCACTACCCTGTATCCTTTCCTTCCATAAAAACAGGTCGACTCCGACTCCAGTTTTTGCTGGCCAGTTTGAATTTGAAATGAAATTAAAATGAATTGAAAAAAATTAGTGATAAGCTGAGTTATTATTTTTATTTATGGATTGTATACATTAATAAATCGTAATTTTCTATTTTATTGACATATTAATAAATAAATAAAAGGGAAGAGGATGGATGTGATATTTCCCATTAGTGATTAAACTGATTCATTTAGTTACAAATTCTCATTGGTAAATTTAGGTAAGCAGCAAGAACTCCCAGAATTGATGCTATTCTTAGGAAGTGAGCAAGAAATGGAGCAATTATTGATAAAGCAACGTGATAAAGAAGTACATATTTGATAATAAAGAGGTTGTTAGAATTAAGAATTTTTTTAGATGTAGATAACCCCTAATGTTCACTAACAGAAAGACTGTGGAATTATCTTGCAGAATTGGAAACTCTTCTATCTACACCATATATAGTCACAAAACGCTGTACTCTGAAGAATTGACAGGAGGCGAGAATGAAAGAATGTGATGTTTGTTCTTTCTGAAATGGAGGGTTTATTGGGTTTATTTTTAGGAATCATTCCTTCATAGGCCCGAAATTCATTTCATTTCATAGACCCGAAACACCGAATTTTCTTATATGACGAACAAATTTAAAAGGCAAAGAAAGCATCTATGAACTTTCATTAAGAATGAAATTATTCTCAGAACAACTGGAGTATTCAAGCCAGGACAGTCAAATGGCAGACACTGCAACTGAGTCTCTATCACCCTCTTCCAGTGATGAATTAGATTTCGAGAAATATTTTTGGATAATATTGGAAAGGCTAAGGTAAAGCAAATGAAAATAAGAAACCAAGAGCCTTTAGATATAAAATGAAAAAAATACAAACAAGATTTCTACACGGCCTTTGAAGATATGAAAATTGCTGCACTTGCAAGACACCTCTTTTAGAACTTATAAAAATCTATCCTGAAAAGTTAAAAGAAGTAGCCCTAACAGTAACAGCTCTTCCTCCTACTCAAGTTAGTGTGGAAAGACTCTTCTCAGCTCTGAAGCTTATCAAATCAGATCTATGGCCCTCCAACAAAGAAGATCTTGGTGAAGCCATACTGTTTCTTAGAAATAACTAGTGCCAGTTTTTTCATTTCATAATAAGTGCTAATTAATATAAATAATTTGCTATGCCATCATTTTTTTTTCTGCAGCATCTATTAGTTTTTTAAATTAAAAACATAAGCTGTAACCCATGTGTATATGTTTACATACATACATATATATATATATATATATAAGGGAGTAGGAGTCTTTAAAAATTTCAGGAATCGGAGTCGGACATTTTCCCTACTGACTCCACAGCCCTGCTTAAAATTAGTGCATATGTTGTCGGAACATACAGAGAAAACAGTAATTCCTCAGATTCCATATCAAAAAGACTGTGAAGATTCAAACATTGCTTCAAAACAAACAACTACTTGCAGTGGACAACGTGTTCCTTTTCCCAAAAGACTGATCACTGTGACACAATTGTACATTTCAATTAGTATTTCATGTTATAGTATTATTTGTGTAAAACTATTTGTATACCTTGTATTGTATTTTATAACTAAATTTCAATGTGTATTTTAATGTATAAGTTTGAGTATTGTAAAGTTTGAGTATTGGATAGTAGCTTTTGTGTTTTTATGAACAAATTGTGTTAATAAAGTTGATTGTTTTAGCAATGTGGAGTTGATTGTTTTAGCAATGTGGAGTTGTGTCTTGTAGGAACAAACACCAAGCCACATCAGAAACTACTACAATTTACTTAAAATACAGTGTGATCTTGATTATCCACGTGTGAATCATCGGCATGTGGCGGTGGCCATATACGCACATTCAACGTTATATGCATGTATGCATAAAAAAACAAACATGTACAAGTTTAAGCATGCTCTATAAATTGCGTGACTATGACTCTAGGTTTAGTTTCATCAATTACATAGTACAATTCACCTAGCATAAGTACAATGAAAGGCATCATTCTGATTTATCAGTGGGACTCTTTTTTTTTTTTTTTTTTTTTTTTTTGTTCTTACTTAATTTTATGCATTATTTTCTTTCATGCATGTTTGTGTTTTAAAATTTTATTTTAGAACTAAAAAATGAATAAAGAATATGCTACAAATGCTACAACAGTACAAGAAAGTTAAATTAAAAACTTATATTAATCAAAATATTTGAAAATGGCAAATTAGTAATGAAGCTAGCTGAAGAGTTTGGAATTGGCACGTAAACTGTTCGTGATATTGTTAAACAAAAAAACTTTGATGACCAAAAGAGATCTTGAAAATGGCAAATTAGCAGTGAAGCTCGCTGAAGATTCTGGAATTAGCACGTAAACTGTTTGTGATATTGTTAAAGGAAAAACTTTGATGACCAAAAGAGAACTGAACACAATGATAAAACAGCCCTTTGAAAAGTATGGAGTAAAATTTGACAAATATTTAATCATTCTCAAAAAGTAAAATTACTGTTTTTCTTAAGGATATAAACAAATATAATATGCATGAAAACTGATAGATTGGATAATTTGCATTTTTCAGTTACTCGCGACCTGCTTCCGCGACATTAGCCCAGACTGAGAGTACTCTATAACAACAATTTTCTCTCCTTCTTTGTGAACTTGGACTGCATAAACTCGCTTGATTATGAAGTAGTAAAACACTATTCTATAGCATCTTTAATTGTGCCATTTTGCAGAATCCAATAGTCTTTCAAAGTGTTGAGCAAGCACACCAGTATAAATAATCAAATAATTTTGGAAATACTCCACTGCTTGCTGTTCTGTAAAGGCGAGTCCCAAATTTCAGTCATTCTTGAAAAATGTAAGGAAAAAACAGGAAAACAGCTGTTAATTATTACAAAAACTAAACTCGTGTTTTGAATATCAGGTTTTATCCATTACTGAGACTTAATCACAGTGTTTGGCAACAGTTTTCATTTTTTCAAAGAAGGATCAATGGGAAAATATGTAACAGTTAATTTGAAAGAAACCAAAATTTAGCAACAAGAAATAGTCGAATTCTCTCCATATTTCACTTGCATTATCGGAATCCTTATTAAAATGTTCTCCTTTTTCAGGTTAAGGATTTATTGATTACAATATAAGCAGCCACTAAAAAGTTAAGAACTTGTAACAGGATACATAAAGAACATAAGCACATATAACCGCATAACACATGAAAGATGAAGCAGTTACAGCATAATCAAACTCTGAAAACTCCAAAAAAATAATAACTTTTAAACCTCCACTATAACCTCAAATTAAGTAAAAAAAAAATAATTTATTTGCTAATGTATAAAACAATACATAAGCAATAAAAAAAATTCTGAAAACTTCAGATTTTACATTATACCCAAAGGGGCATTTTTTAAATGTTTTGTGGGTTACCTTTATTTACTAAATATCATGTTCTTCGCACTTAAACCATAAAATCATTCAGTTCAACAGCAATATCACAAAATAACTTTAAAATAAGCATGCCGTTAGAATTTCCAATACTCAGTCTCTCGCGCTGGAGATAAAAATGTCCCCCCCCCCATACAGTGTTGCCATTGCTCGCTTTAAAATCGTTAAGTTTCTTAATCAAAATTCGTAAAGCTTTAAAAATATGAATAGATATAAACAATTCCAATTGGGCTTCAGATGCCCATATTTGGGTGAAAACATACGTTATCCAAAATTTGATGGCTCTAGGTACCGTTGTTTTATTACAACCTGAGAAACATACATCCGTTTATCCAGATTCTTCATTATTTAATTTCTTTAAATATAACAGGGTTGTAATATTTGGTGCAGTGGCAGCTCGCGGCTAAAATTAGTGGGGGTGGTGTTCCAAAAAAATGTAACCTTTAAAAATTGTCTAAAAGGATTGGATTATTTAATTAATGACAAAGCACACGAGAGCTGTCTGCCTAAAGGGAGGGATGTCTTCGTGCAGGACTTTCTAAGGAAACCTGGCTCATATACATGTTACACATGGGGAAAACCACAAAAACGCCCATGCAGCCAACCCTTTCTCGAGATTCGAACCTCAGACCGAACTACCAGTGTTCACCGTCTTTACCGCTCGGCCACTGGGGCACAATTGGTCTAAAAGGAAACAAACATGTAAAAAGAAAATTATTTGAAACTTCATGAATCTTACAAGAAAAAAAATTAAACATTTCTTAATACTTTACCAATTGTTACAGTTCAATCTTTGTCTATTCTTTAAAAATGATCTATTCTTCTTGTTTTAATTTGCCAAAAGATCAATTTTTTTCTCCTTGATCTGGGTGCAACGAGAAATTTTTCTTTTTGAAAGCAATGAAGCGCATTTAGTTTTCCAAATTCCAGTGCTCTAGAAAATTTTTCTTTTTTTCAATGTTAAAAGCAGCGTTCTCCTCTGATGTAGTATCAGGGAACCCTCAAGAGAAATTTTTATCTATTTCGAATTTCACTAGAACATATCTAGATATTTTCGAAGATAAATGTCAGTAGCTCAATTAATTTGCGTATTCAGATATCGACCCACAATAGAACACTGTTAGTCGGTTTCAAGGCTTTTCTTTGTCAATCATTGGATATCTTTGGGTCAGTACTATTTCTCTGTAGAATGTTCATTTCTAAAACTAGCAAAGCATTTCTTGTTTAACAATTTAACAGCTGCTATGTTTAGCGGAAGAATATCTGTGCATTATATCAATACTTAGTTATAAGTCACGTATTTCCTTAGCTTCTGCCTTCGTGTCTTTGAAAAATTCTCACAGATTTTAAGTTTCTTAATTCTAAAATAGCATTTGAAATATGTTACATATCGTACTTTAAACACACTATTTCTCTGGAGTGCATTTAGTTGTATATTATTTCAAATGAGGCTCTGATAAAAAGCTCTAAGCAAAACTTGATCATTTAGATATTTTAAAATTCCTGTCGCTTTTGCAATAGTTTGATGTGCATTTGATGTTGATTAAATTTCAGCAGGGCAATTATTTAAAAATTGCAAATTTCATGAACTCTGTTTATGGTCCGTATGGTGAAGTTCCACCTTGTGGGGGAATACCACACGCGCAGAGTAAAAAGAAATCACGTTTCCAACAACACGCCAGATTTTTTTCACTGCAAGAGCGACAGTGCTTTTCTTTCTCCCTTGGCTCACGTACTGCTTTCTGTGTGCGTATATGCAGAACAGCCAAACACTACGCCGCTGGAACTGGGAAGCGTGCAGTTCCAATCAAAGACTTTCGTATCTTTTTCACATACCGGGGGATGGCTATTGACATTTTAAGCTTAAGTATTATGTATCGTAAAAGTATAAAGAAAGAATTAAAGTCTAAAAGGCACACTATATTAAATATTAAAAATAATAATAAGTGGAAATAGGGTGTGCTGCAGTTCCACAGTGCTTATTACGAGCCGCCACTGATTTGGTGTCAACAGTTTGAATAGTGAACTGACATTTAAAGTTTTAAACACAAAATACCAAAACAAAATTAATAGCCCTTCTGGGCTAATGACCTTGGGCTAATAAATAAATCTACATCTAAAATACAGCCAAATTTTTAGCATAGCCAACTAAAAATTGTGACTATATATAATTTCAAAGTATTATTTTATCTATTCCTTCAACTTTATGTATGATTATATGATGAAAAATTACTACTTTAAATCAAATCCTTATATAAATGTATACCTTGCATAGCATTAAAAAAATTATAACAAATAATAACAAACCTGGAAATACTCACACTTTCAAGACAATCCATTAAATTAAGGAAAAAGGCAGAATTTCCTGGAGTTTTATCACTGATTTTTAATCCACTTTGGACAGCATAAAAACGACCTAAAAACGAGGACAATTTATGATTACAACAAAAGAACATCATGAATTAAAAATAAAAAATATATATAATATATATATTAATAATATACGGTATATTAATAATATACCGTAATAAAAATGGAATTAAAACTGCCTCGACTGCCAAGTTCTTTAGATATTACCAAGTTAGCATTACTAGCATACTATGCAATCAAAATCTTCTTCAATATGGGTCTAATCACGCATCTACAGTATTCCGTCTTTTCCTTTTCACTAGGCATTCGACCTTCTCAATTTATCGAGAGATTACTTTCAATCTGTAAACACTACGCGTGATTATTTTTTTGAAGCACTTGCAAAACACCACGCAGAAGAACGATCTGTTATTTTTTAAACACTGAAAAAAACAAACTTGATGATTCACTTCTTCACATATCTGGATTTATCACAAAACGATGGTTTGAAGAGCTGAACTAAATTTTCCATTAGATTCAGGCTGCAGGAAACTATCCTACCCTGTGAATAATTAATAGCTAAAATTAATTACTTAATTTGCTTAACATATTATGAAAAATTAGAAAATTAATGAACAAGAATCAGATTTTTCTCAAAACAAATTGCAGAAATTTTAACCAAAGTTGAAATGAAAACTATAGAATCTGCAGCACATTAAATATTTAGTTCCTGTGCTGATTCACACAAATAATAATTTTTGAGCTGTTGAAAAAGAAGTGCAAATAATTTTCTGTCGCATATTTGCGAACACTAACTCAGATCGAACCTGAACCGCTGAATGCTTATTCCTAAATGTATTCACTGAGATTTCCTTTTCACTTTTGAACTCAGATACTCGATATTTCGAACATTTTTAAATTACCGTTAATTTTTTTTTTACATTTCCTTGTTCTTTTATTATGACATATATAATTATATATATATTTGTTTTTGGTAAAGCAGGAAATAAAAAAAATACTCTAGAACTTGATAATCTTCTAACATAATGAACTTGTACAGTCTTGCTTTTTTTGGTAGTATGCACCAAGACTCAGCAAACAGAACTAAGTTTGAATGATCACTACGTCTAGATAAACGACAGAACATAAGAATGGTGTAAAAGACCCTTTTATTAAGAACTCAATTAGCTGAAAATAAGGCACTCCTGGTGCTTACAAAACCAGCCAGCATTTATGATGTAAACTTGAAAGTAAGATATTCAAATTCAACCTAAATCTAAGTCCTCAACTAGCCAAATGCTAAACAGAAATAATTAACACAAAAGTTAGCTCAAACCTACACCAGACCAGAATAACTAATGCTGCAAACAGGAATGCTATCATAGAAATTAAACTGGCCTTTAGACGGCAGAACACGCTCTATCCAAACAATATGAAACCTTCCTTTAAATAATTAAAATTTGCATTTTGGCAGGGAAACGGAAAGGAAGAAATTTCAGTAAAGTTGCATAACATAAAATTATTAATTAATTTAAATAAATGCCTTAAAAATTAAACTACATGTGGGCCAAATGCTAGATGCCAGAACAATTCTTTAACAAATTTTTTAAATATTTTTAACAAAAACAATAAATAAATGAGTTCAATAGGGTAGGGAGAGTGGGTTCAAATATAATTAACTTAATATTTTTTGAAACATACATAAACAAAAATAACAACAACACAAAGAAAAAAATCAAATTTATATTTATTTTCTACATAAGTTTGGGTAGCAGCAAACTACATAAGTTTTGGTAGTAGTTTTTGTTATGCTTTGGAATTCAAATACATGACAGTTAAATACAGTCAAAAGTCGTTAATCCGGACTCGTCGGGACTTCGGCGATTCCGGATTATCGATTTTTCCGAATTATAGATCATCAGTTTAAATCTGGTAAAATGGCATGCATAAATTATAAAATTAAAAATATGAAACCGTAATTTATGAAATAAAGAACAATTATGATCTAAAGGGTATCAAATTTACAAAAAAAAGCTTATATTTATTGTTTACTTATTACATTTCTTTTCATGTAAGTTGTTTAGTTGCTTCGTTTTTTATGTTATAATACATTCTCTTTAATTCTATAAACAGACATAATTCTTGTTCAGTTACAAGTTCCGCTGTTCCAGTCCTAAATGCTGTGTCGAGAATACCGACTAATTTGTCAATCGAAATTTTTTCGTTTTCATAACCTCTGACACTTTTCTCGCTATCGGAGCGAATTATAATGACGAGGCATTTTGATTTAAATCATATCAAGACGAGATGAAATACTCTTGATAAGCAATTATAAGGCCAAATAAAATAAAAACATCTGCCCTTAAATAAGGAAGTCTGACAGATCAACTTTCAATTCATTTCACACGCCGTGCGGTGTTAAAGATAAACAAAGTTTAGATAAACAAACGTTAAGTAGATAAACAAAGGATAATGCTTATCCATTTTGCAGCATTCCACTTTTTGTTTAATGGACTCCAAAGATACTTTCGCTTTGTATATCCTTTACTTTAGCAATATAATCGGAAATTCTATTTGACATAATCGAAATCAAGCTTACTTTTATAAAATTGCTCTAACAGTCTGCAAAAAATAATATCCAGATCCAATCCAAGATTAAGGAACAACACAATCTGCAACATTAACGGAATAGATAATTAAGATAATTTTAGCTTAGCTTGTCCCCGTCCGTTATACATTAAACGCGCATCGTAAACGTATTTTCGCACGCGCACACGCAAATTCGCAGGTAAGATCTTACGCGCATGCGTCAACGCGACGCATGCGCAGAAAGTTTGTAGCTTTGAGGTCCGGATTATAGATCATTCCGGATTATGGGTGTCCGAATTAACGACTTTTGACTGTACTAAATTTTAGACCAACATTTATTTTAGGTAATTCCAATATGTTGAATTAACCACTCTTAACCTTAATCTTGAAGCCAGAACTTTCAGAATACTAAAGTCTCACCAGCAATTGGCTGACAAGCTAAATTTACTGATTGTAGCAACATCAGAAATTTTCCCACATTAATCTAGTTCAGTGGTCAGCAAACCCCTTAGTTACAAGAGCCAAAGGTCACCAGGGCAATGATTAAGATTTATTTTCAAGATTCATGTTTTTAGAATTCCATTTAAACTAGCTACTAACATTAAATAAAACTAGATATCATAATAACAATAATCTAATTTATTGACAAAATTATTTTTATATGAAAATATGACAAAGCACGCATTTAATGTGAACAATAACCTTGCATTTCCTTGGATAGTTTGGATTAGTCAGGTTCATAAGTCATTGCTTTTAATTTCAAGCAGGATTCCAAGTTCTTATCAATCAGACAATTTCTAAATTTATTTTTGATAAGATTCACGCATGAAAAAGATTGTGCGCATAAATACGTAGAGCCAAAGAGTGAAAGAACAGCAGATGCTAGTTTTTTTAAATGATCATAAAAATCAGGAGTACTATTCCATGTTTTGAAAATTACCATGTCTTCTTTCTCCAGGTCTTTCGTAGCAAACTACCTTTGCCATGAACTAAGCTCATATTTACTTTTCTCCAGTTTCTCCATATCAGCATTAAGGAATTCAGATTTGAAGCTCTATTAATCTTTGTTTTTTAACTCCAGTAACTGCATTTCAAAAATGTCAGTATCAATATCAAAGAGGAAAAAAAAAATCAGTTCTGTTATGACAGCACTGACAGGTTTTTTAACAAAGGCTAATATCACTTTGCTATTTCTGAATTCCTGAAACTTCCATAGAAAAGCTTCCCTTATATTTAAAATTGTTCTTTTGAAATATCTAATTTCAATTACCGAGTTATTATACCGAAATTAATTGCCGAAATCTTTTAAAACAATTCCTCTTCAAAACCAATGCACCTTATTATGCAACAGAAGATCTGCATATTTGCACTTTATTTCAACTAAAAATTCTTAATTGGTGATGATAAATAGCTACAGTTACAATTATGTTGATAGTCTTGATCAGCAATTCCATAACATTAAAATTTTTTCTGGAAATATCCATATAAAAAGTGCTTCTTGATGAAAGATACAACGATAAACAAGTATTTCATGATTATTTTTTTTCCTTAAAACAAAACTTTTCCTTCATACATTTTGCCCCATCAGCTGAAATTGGAACAAATTTATCGAGGGACATATGATGCATCTCCATGAATTCAGTGACAGCATTTGCAATAACCTTGCCATCTGTTTGACCTTCCAGTGGCAATAATCCTAAAAGTTCTTCTTTAGGACCCATAGATGAAATAAATCAAACAAAAAGTGAAACTTGTGTTGTGTCATTTATGTCACAAGATTAACCAACAGCTATTGATAAAGCTGATACAAACTTAAGATCTTAAATTTGCTGATTGGTAAATATTCGAAGACATTTGTCCTGTGTTTTACTGCTTTAGCAGGCAGTGGTGACTTCAAAAAAATCTGCCCAGTTCTTAAATTCCTGGAATTCCCAGTTCTAAACTCTTTGGATGCTTTTGTAAACAACTTTTTATGTATTCACTGTCTATAGATCGTTTGCCTCTCTTAGCAATCTCTTGACTAATAATAAAGTTGACAATATTAACAATCTTGGAAGATTGCACCCAATAATTAAATACAGAACTTGATTTTTCTTCAATCTCCTCAATGGCTTTCTTGACATGGAAACTAAGTAAGTGGGTTCCTCCTGTCATATCTGAAGAAAATAAGCTCCAACGGTTGAACATCTGCTTGTCATAATAAAGTTTTGTTCTTGGACAAATCTCTACATGTGACAAAAAATGGATCATGTATGATAACCAGAAGATGAAACATTGTTGGTCAACTTCTGTTTTGGTTTCATTGGCCACTAAACTGGACATTCACGAAAAGAAGGTAATGCTGTGTTTTTGGTGGACCAGTACTGGAATAGTTTATTATGAATATCTAGAAATCGGAAAAATTGTAACAGCTTAGGTTCACTCGTCACAGTTGCAAAGATTTTCAACTGCACTGCACCAAAAACAGCCATCAGTGGT